GAGGGTGGTCTGTTAATTTTCACTTTTCTGCCCAAAAAGGCAGAGGCTAAAAACACATCCAGTCCTGTACATACTAGTGATAGAAGCAAACTGTTCAGAGAGCGAGGAAGGTATTTTGCGATGTTGAAAAATACATGTGCCGCTTCTGTGTGTTGAAACATGCAAAAAATAACTGCCAGATTTGCGTGGGCATAACTAACACCCATGTAACCTGTTATCAATAACTATGAACTAAGTGTCAGGCTTCTCACAATACCGTCGCTCTGCGCAAAGCAAATAAGCAAGTTCTTACATTATTAAACATGTCCCGTCCGGAAATGACCTTTTACTAATCAATAGCAGCCCTAATTCCCTGACATCATTTCTTCTCATTACAGGCCGTTGTCAAAGCTAAATGCTAAGGCCTCCAGTGAGGATTTCCCATGAGGCCGAGCGGCTGTATGGCCTCAGCTCCAGTGACCTACTTGTGCCCTGTACGTGTACTGCCCCTGGTGAGCAATTGAGCAAATAATAAATGAAAGGGCTGAGCCTATAGTGGAAGGCGGCAGAGGTTCAGAGGTGCAAAGCAAGGTCGTCTGGTTTCTCACAGTCATCTCTTTCAATACAACGTCCAAAGTCAACATTTCAGCTAATCGATGATGTCAGACCATTTAGGACTGAAAGGTGAGAGGAAATGTGTGCTAGGTGAGAAAAGTGACAAATAGTTACTAAAGTTGCAGACACACACAACCAAGAAAAAATCCCTATATTCACACAGTCCCTCCTCAGTGAGAGACATGACAAAATCACAGAGCACTTTTTAATGGATAAAAACAACTACACTTGCACATAAAACTGAATGACAAGATTTTAAACTATTTTTTCAATACTTATTGCTGCTAAACTAAAATGGGGAGTGCTTTTTTGGAAGTAACTCCTCTAGTGGCTTTGTAAAGATGTTATTTTGTAATCCCATTCCCTAGTGTCGCCTCTTTGACAAGTCAAATGGGACTGTAAATGAAAATAGTACTGTACAAGGTTCGTTCAATATGTCTCTTCCTTGTTAAAATCCCTGCCACTTCCAATCCAACAACTTAAAAGGGGATTTCAACTTTCAAATTACTTTAAGAAAAATCACATTGTTCAATTTGTTTTCACCGTCTTAAGCTCTACAGTCACACATACAGTATCTGGCATCCATGGCCGAGCGGCGAAGGTTTTTCTCGTGGGCAGACACCATCACTTACCTCTAATTAACCCCATGATGGTCCGGTGAACACCAACTGAAAGAGGCGATTAATCACTCACTTCGCCCAGAGCCAAGCACGTTCACAAAAGTGGAAAAGTTTCAGGTTTTTCTTTTTTCCAACTGCAGTGAAACAGACACAACACTGCAGACAATAACTGGCCTGGATCTGAGGACTATAGAAGTATGTGTCTATCCATCTGCCTGACAGTTTGCCCCACCGCTGGAAACGCTTCTATTTTCACAGAGATTTACAAAACCTCTTCCTTTGAGACGGTCAGTGCAGGCATGAAAGGAGTCAGAGAAGGTGTCTGTCACCGTGGCCGCACTTGCAAATCAAAGCATGATCTTGATGGAGCTCATAAGCTAAGAGGGGCAGAGACTAGTTGATACTGTAATGGGAGACCTCTGCGATCTCCTGGTCCAGCTGAGATTGTAAAGTTCCAACACGTCGTTCTGTCCTTAGGGAAGACACTTAACCTACATGTAGTGTGAGTCTGGGGTGTGTATGTGAGAAATTGACAGATCCCAGAGTAGCTGATGAATGGATTAGCAGCATTACTTCCATCAGTATGCCCCAGGGCAGCTGCAGCTAGAAGGAGTATCACCTCCAAAAGAATGCCATGCGACTTTAAATAATGACAATACTGCACAGAGGCGTTGCCATTACAGTCTATGCAACACACAATTAAACTGCAGGTTTTTAGATTTTCAGCAGATTTCAATATAAATTGTCTTTTTGAGCCCTGTCTGTGAAAATACACATATATAAATCATTAAAACAACGGTGCAGACAATAAACCACCTGCTCCTCCTATATTATTATGTTTTCCACTTCATCTCAGAGTAGCTTTCACTTGTCCTTTGGTGTCATACTTCTGTATGTGTGAGCAGTGGCTGGTGATTTATCCTGTGATGTAATGGTGGAAAAGTCAAACCTGTAATTGAGTTGGAAATGTCTCATCTGGTCACAGCTGCCTGGATTTGTCATTAAATATAAAGATCCTACAAACATAGAAAATTGAAAATCTCGTCTGTAGCCGGTGTGGGCGAGTACGAGAATACATCTAGCGGGAAAATGTTCAGAATACTAGTTAGTTTTCAAACTTTTTATATTTTATCACATTTTGAATATTACACAAAAAACAAATACAAACTCTATTTTAGGGATGTATGCAAGTGTACAAGGCTTTTCTAATCAAGAATAAGACAAAAACATAACACAATGCAAGGAACCAAAGCAGTCCATTGAGGATAACGGCATATGTTTCAGAAGACATATCAAAAAGGTAATCAGTATTTTGTCCCTGTATATGTTTTTAAATTCTCCCTAACCCTCTCTGAAGATTAAAAAGTTAGAATCTTGTATGATATTATGAATTGGAAACAAATAAACCTTTAAATTGCCATCATAAATCACAGGCAGTATACTAACTGTCTCTAAATACAGAAAAATTATCTTAACGCTATGAACTGCTGCAAGCTTTTTGTGTTGTTTATGAAGCTGACACTCCATCTGTGATATGTGTCACGTTGAACTAATGTACGCAATTACTTCACAGCACACTTCAACCATTAATAGCACTCCTCTGGCTTCATCCATCAGTGAGTGTGCACAGACGGAGATCCCAACTGGGAACAACAAGTGCATGCAGCAAACGGCTCCAGTGCTTTGAAAATGCCACAGCGATCACAGTGAGGCTGCAGAGGAGGCAGGAGGACATGCTCAGGCTATAGGTTTTTATTACCTAATCCTCAGTGTGATTTATGAGGTTCACAGACCACTTCTTCAGCTGTTTTACGCTACACGCCTACACATAACCAGTGTGCCTTGTCAACTGATTACGTTGACATATTTGACCCAAAGTAAACTCAAAAAACGTATATTTATTGATAAAACAACTATTTAAGAAGTGATATATCCATCAATTAATGAAACAATATTGATTCAAATAATGATTCTTTGCTAAGTGAGTTTGTCCTGACTTGAATGAAAACAGTATACAAAACTAATTTATTGTTATCTTTTCATTTTGGCAGTTTTCACATAAATGTTTTTGTAAATGAATATAATATTGTGTGCATGTGGGCGTGTGGGCGTGCATAGGACAACAGCAGGAGAGATGTTCCGTGTGGATGAAGCCAAAGTCAAACATGACATGCAACTACATTTGCTCCTTGAATGCGCCTGGTCTCAGAGGGAGTGTGTTGTGCGTTTAAAAGGCATTGTTTGTTGTCTTTGTCATCTTCCATTTGACAGACAGAGTCATTTTACATCCGCAAACACGGGTCAAAAGCCCTCAGAGGAATGTAGATTTGTCAAAACAAAGGCCTGTCCTGTAGCGCCACCCAATGGTGGATAAAACGAACTGCAAAGTCACAAAACAGCTTTATTTATTTATTGCGTTAGGGAAATGTTCATAGATATAGCAGTCATGTAATCCCCCTTTATAGAAATATGAGGATTGCATCACTACTGCATTGTGAAATAAACATTGTGAAATGAAGACATATTATATTTAATTAACTGTTCATAAAAGTACTTTCTATTTTAAGCGGTCATGTTACATGAAATACCCTTTTAAGTTGTTGGATTGTTAATTGGCCTCCGCTTGAAATTATCCAAAATGTAGTAGAGATCACGGCCAGTGTGTGAGATTCAGAAATTATGGCCAATTATAGCCAGATCTCTTAATCTCTTCATTTTGGTCATATCTGACCTAAAACAGGTAGTTACAAATGATCTCTGTACGATTTTAACAGTCCCTCTCATGTTTTATAAAGTTCAAAGCAGCCTTTTTGTATAACTATATTGTAGTATTGATTCTATGTGAAACAACATGATAGTAGAGGAATGCTAATTTTTTAAATAATGCAGGCATTTTGGCATTCTACTTTGGACTAGAGCAGAGAAAATAGTCCAAACCAAGCGGCTACTCCAACTTGTGACCTGTCCTGCTCCACCCAGCGGCTACTCCACCTCTGCTGCTGTGACCTGAAGGGCTGTTGCTGATTATTACTATTGTTAGATTTTTAGAATGATCAATTTTATTTTTGCTGCTACTGGACACCTGAATTTCTCCTATGGGGATAAATAAAGTATCCATCCATCGATCGATTTAACAGACTTAACTGACCTCATTACTACAGTAGGCTTAAGTAGAAAAGAGCTGTAATCTCTGGAGTAAAACATATACAGCAATATATTACTCATTTGCAATATTTATTTATTTATTCATTAGCCAGAACAGAATAATGTAGGCATATTTACTAGAATTGTACAGTGCAGACAGCAGCTTACAATGAAAGGTATATAAAACTGGACTGGACAGGTCTATAAGAGAAGAATTGAGACTTAATTTGTGTTGCAAATACTCTACATTTATCTTAAAACATAAGTAGTGTTTGAATAGAAAAAAGCTAGGCAAGAAAGTCAGCAGACAGGCTTCTTTGTGTCAAAAGCAACAATAATGGTTATGTGTGAAGAGCAAAAAGGCATATTTTAATCAGAATGTTTTTACATACCGGTAAACCAACTTCAGGCCGTGTTTTGTTTTAGAAGCTGGAAGAGAATAATACAGGTACATATAGCAGTATAGAAGTTTAGTGCGACATTTTGTTGGCAGTCAAGTAGTGAGGTCTTAAGATAGTTGCGAGAAAAAAAAAAACATACAATCTTAGCCACATCAATACTGAATAATCACATGAGCAGTGTCCGTCCAAATGTTGAATTTGAAACAGACTGAACACTTGAATAAACCGATTGCCTGCGTGTTTATGAAGCCAGTGGCCCCAGTCTCAGCTCTACATGATGGGTGAGCCAAATAGCCTCTGCCGGGATGTCGCCCCCCTCCTCGCTGGGCCTGAGGGGAGCCGCCAGGTTACGGAAGTCGTGTCGGATTTTAAATGAAACCGTGACATCGCCGTCCACTTCTTTCTGAGGGATGACTTTGATAAAGAAGCCGATCTTGTTTGATTTCCTGAAGGCAACAATACTGCAGACGGAGATGGAGACAGAGTTAGGAGTGGAAAAAGGGCCGTGTTCAACCGTGTGTGCTGCGTCTTGTACTTACTCCGGGTCGTCCTGGAAGTCCTGCGGTTCTGCCAGTTCATCATACTCGGCAGCCGCATCCTTTCCGGCCAAAACTAACTCTTTGCTCGGCACCATGACCTAAAGGAACAACAGCAGCACGGAGCTTCAATCAGCTGCAGGGTGGCCCACACAGTATCAGTGACCTGGTGTGCTGCTATGTTGGAGTAGGTTTAAAGATCGCAAGTTGTAATTTCACCATTATAAAGCAGTTTTATTAAAGACCATGAAATTAGGAATGACTTCAAAGCTTTGTTAAAATGAGTCATGTCGGAAAAACTAATATAAACTGATAGAAGATGAACTGGGAAATTAAAATGTACGAAGGACTTTTCCAGCGCGCATCTGTCAGGCTATATTTAATTTTTATTGACAAGGATATTCCATTTCTTGCATCAAGAGACACTAAATTGGGATTCATTTTCTGAGTTATTACGTTACTATATCACAGCTGTTTCCAGTCCGCTTTGGTACGCTATAAAAACAAGAGGAATCTATGTGACAGTACCAATAAGAATTGTCGATCAAAGCAGCAGCAAGTCACTGATCAGCTGCACCTATACGACTCAAACCTAATTATACTATTATCACAATGGAAATGATTACAGACCTCGTTTAACACTACTCTGGAGCTCTTTATTTCCTCAGACCCAGACTCAAAGCAGCGACACACAGCAGGTTTACAGCTCCATTGAGCACAGTATTAACCCTGTAATCTAAACGTTCTCACTGCAGCAGTGCAGTCTGCATTTAAAAAGGTGTCATCATCTTTCAGGAGCTGCTCCAAGTGATGCCCTTTTTTAAATCCCCTTCATAAGGAAAGACTTTGACAACTTTCAAGTTCCTTTTATCATATTTATTAAGGCTGAAGTCAAGAGCTCTGTTCATTCAGATTATATCACGGCATGTCATCAAAATACTCTAAATCTAGCAAAATGTGTAAAAGGACTGTAGTATTATGTATACAGTTTAAAATTGTATGAGGCCATTTCTTTTACACATGCATAAATAAAATGGCTCACATGGAAGTGGTAAGAAGTGGCTGATAAAAGTGAGCAAACCTATGCTCCTCCCAGTGGCCTGTCAGTGATTGAACTGATCAAGCAGAATAACAACACTACAGTCTTGCACACTCCACTTGGCCGTAATGGAACAGAAATGGGTCATGAAGACGCTGTGTTTTGGCCAAAGGCACTTCTCACTCCGGTCGGAGAGATGGAGTCAGCGCTGAAGGACTGAACAACCACAGATACAAGGGGATAGACTGTCCTCAGGAAGGACGTGTGAGTCTAAATACAAGTGAAAGACATGTAGGTAATGTCTGCTTCAAGCAGGTGATCAACAGGCAACACTCCTGAGCAACTGATCATTTCAATAGTAAACCAGTCATTTATAACACTACACTGACAAACAGAAATGGCCACAGATTTCAAATGATTAAAACAAATCGAATAATGCTGACTACACCATCTGTGTCGCAACTTTCTGTAAACCAATAATAATAAACAAAACATCGTCACATCCAAAGAGCGTATCAAGTTTTTTAGAAAACAGCTACATAAATAAAATTTTAAATTACTCTATAAAGTGGATGTTTGTGGATGATGCACATATAAGACAAGCAGTTATGACCGACCAGAATACAGACGATAAGTAAGTAAGTAAGTAATGTTTATTTATATACCGCCTTTCACAGACAAGGGTCACAAAGCGGTTTACAATTGTTTTTTTTAGGGCACTTGTCCTCTCACTCCACACAGAGATGGGAGCGGGGTCGCCGAACACGAGGCGCATGCCAGATCTATTGTACATATTTTTAGTGGTAGGGGAAACCGGAGTACCCGGAGGAAACCTACACAGACACAAGGAGAAAATGCAAACTCCACTCAGAAAGGCCCTGGTCCGACCGGGATTCGAACCCAGGACCTTTTTGCTGAGAGGCGAGAGTGCTATCCACTCAGCCACCGTGCCGCGATAACCAATAGCTTCTGCTCCAACCATCATTAACAATGTCCATTTTTAACATGTTAATGTAACACTATCATGCAAGCATCCTGTTAAAGACTGAACAGGTGAAACTCGTATCATTAGAATATTGTTCTGAAGTCAAAAGTTGTTTGAAAATGGAAAATAATTATCGAATATTTTGTCAAATGTTCTGTATATTTGTATGGCTCTTGTGTTTGTGAATTTTCAGACTCAGTTTATGTATAATCTTATCTTGTACAGGGAACATCGCACAAACCTTGGCCGTGCTGTTAATGTCATCAGGATCTTCTTCTTCACAAGGAGCCAGTGTCACTCGGGTCACATTCTCCACCGGGTTAGTCAGCGTGAGAAGCACTTGACTCTCCTTAAAAGAAACATTCCAAATATTAGCATTTAAACTTGTTACAATCATTTAGAGTTCTATCTATTCATTTCTTGAGATCTAAAACCTTTTGAAACAGACTTACCTTCATGAACCGGAGATTTGGAATGGACATAATTCTTACTTCGGGGATATAACTCCTGTAAACAAGATACAAAGAACAAATCAATGCATTAAAGCAGTCTGACAAGTGTGTTTGTCGAGGTAAAATAAATAACATTCAGACTGATTGAATAAATAAACCCTCACTTCTGCTGTGGCTCAGTTTAAACCACCATAATATTTCTTCAGAAGCAATTATTAAAAGCAAACATAAGCCTTCATTTAATATGATGCATGAATAATTACAATGTGTGCCGGTGTTAGGGATCGGCTAAAACATTACATTTTACAGAGCTAATCTAATTACAAGTACCAAAGGCTCCAGGCAAAACAGGATTAATGAGAGATTTATTTATCAAACACTTCCAGAGCACAGAGAATACTTACACAGCCACCAGCTGGATTTTGAACTTGATAGAAGTTGGGTTGAACTCTGGCTTGCTCAGGTTGTGCTCACATTTCTAGAAGGGTTCAGGAGGAATTATGGATTTTACATAGAAAACCCTAAAAACAACCACTTTCTATTCTTCACACACATAAAATCAGTAAAAGCTGGTGGATACATTCTCAGCGGAGGTGAGCAGACGTTTCTTTTCATGAACAAAAATCATTCATAGCCAAATCTCAAATATAATAAGTTCCCTCCCTCCCACAAATAACATGCATTGTTTTTCCCAAAAGTAACCATGCCTTTGTGTCACAAGTCATCTTGTGCATACTTGAAAGAAAGATCCCTGTGACTGACTAAGGATGTGACAGAGGCTAAAACTGCATGAATATGAAAACAAAAAGATTCAACTGTTTTAGAGCCAGATACATGTTACAAGTTAGTTTATTTTTTTAATGGATTTTAAGCAAAGCTTTAAAGCTGGCAGCTGTAACCGGTCAAATATATTATGAGAGTATTATAAGAGCTCTGGGCACTGACTCTGCATCGGAGAGAGCGCTTCATGAGCAGGTGCTTGTGTCTGGGGTGCAGTTGAGAAGCGTTCGCAGGCTGGAAGTCCGGCTGCAACAGACGCTGCTTCAAAGTGGTCACTGTGACAGACAACAGCACAGATATGAACCCTTTGAACGCACATCATTATTCAGAATTCACAATACACACCTTCTGGAAGATTGACAGGGCGAGTGTAGCAGTCTTCAGGCAGCGGCTCCACTTCATCGAGGGCCTGGGCCGGTTCAATGCTGATTTCCTTCTGATCCTCCCCCTCTTTAAGACTGAACACATCAGAAAATCATTGTAATCATTGAGTTTAAATCAGTTGGATCCTCACTCATGCTATAATCTTCAGAATAGTGTTTCAAACACATAGTGTCACAATCATAGATTGTATATACTTATCTGCTTATCTATTGGGCTTCATTGAGCACAATAGTGAAGTGCTCATGGAGAAAGTTTTTCTGTGACTCCTATTGACTTACATTGAAAAGTAAACTCCTCTAGCTTGGTAAGTGTTTGTTTTACACTCACCATTTTGGTGGTTCTCTATGATCAGAGTGTTTGTATTGTGATATTATTGTTGTAAACCATATATGGGCCACAAGGATTGACCAATCAGATACCTTCGGGGCATACTCCAGCTTTCCTTGGCAACCATGTTAGCAACACATGTGTCGCTGGTATGGCACGAAGCTAACGCCCAGCTCATATACGGAAACTGGATTAAGCTAGTTAATGTTCAAATCGGCTTTTTCTGCATTTTGAAAACAATATGGGTGACGGCAGTCCATTCGTAATATACAGTCCTTTGATCACAACTCATCAGACACAGACACACACATAAACAAATAAAACAAGAAAAGCAGACTAAGAAGATAGTGAAGTATTTTAAGAACTCCAAACACAAAGAAATCAAACTCACTATGGATGTTCTGATCTAGATTTTGTAAATGGCAACAGTGAATACAATATTTCATTGAAATGGAAAAGAAACACTCACGAAAGGCCAGCAAGCCCTGAAAGAGGTCCCCCAGGTCTTTGCCTTTGCAGTCGGGTTCCCAGGCCATATTTTTCCTGCATAAATTAGACCAGAATCTAGTTGATCAAACAAGAACCACTGAATGACATTGACAAAAACAAAGACAACACATTTAGTTTTTGAGAAAACAGGAGCCATTTGTGAATGAGCAAAAGTGAGGAGTTTGCTGGCAGTTAATATTAGTTTTAATTGAGGTTAAAGGGTATTTCAATCTGTATTATACACCACAAGTGCAGTGTTTCCCCTCTGCTGCTGACCCACACAAAGGCTCCCATTGTGAGCAGCTCTAAAATGAATTTACTCAAGGAGACATTCATGTGATCTGTGAGGTCACTACAAGATTAAACAGAAATACATTGACTGTTTTTTGTCAAACTACACTACCTTTAGAGAAAATGTAACTCACCACCACATGGATAGTGTGTTGCTGGGAGGATAAAGTGAACAGGCAAAAGGAGAGAGCAAAGAAACAGGTGAAATCGAGCTTGTAAGCAAACATTAATGACTTCATGCAACAGCAAAAGAGTCAGTGATGCCAAACTAGACATCACAAAATGAGGCATAATGCATAAACAGGACGGTTTGGTCATTCTAATGGATGCAGAATATCAAGACTCTTTGTCTTGACCACAGAAAAAAAAAAAAAACATTTTCTGTTGCATCTATTACAACACAAACTCAGCAACATATTGATGAACAAAATGTTGAGCAATTAAGTGGTAATGTATAGATTAAAAGTGTATATCATGAACAGCTGCAGTAAAAAGGAGGTTTAAATGTCTATTTACCGAAAAAGCTAGTGGCATCCCTTGTCTTCTACGTGCCATTTTCTTGCGGTCCCTCTCCTGCTTTTCTCTGTGAGCTAATGGTTGATAATATTCAATAAGTTTGTTGATCTGAAAAATAAACATATATTATAAAAATATTATACACACACATATATACATTCACAAATACAATGTATTTTATATTATATTTCTACTTATATGAACACATAGCAAAACAAGATAGCAAAACAATCTTTGTAACAGTACAGTGGAGCTTATCACTAAAGAAGAAAAAATTCCAACATATGAGCAACTCGTGGAAGGAAGCCACAGGGCAGAACTTACTCGCTGACTGTGAGGGTTTTCTGGTTCTTGCCACCCACCACTTGCTGTAGACAAAAAAATAATAAACACATAATTTTTTATCAATTCATGCTTTTTAGATATGATTTTATTTCATATTTGACTGAATTGATACAGACCAACTGATTTGTCAGCCATTCCAACATCTCTGGAGGTCCAGCGGCAGAACCCACAGGCCAGATAATAGGCCTTCTTCATGGTGGTTTTAGTTGGGTCATCGGGCAGAGGCGCTGGGATGTTTGTAGCTCGAGTGGATAGAGTGTGCATGCAGCAGGGGCAGTCAAAACAGTTAGCACACCTAGATGAGACAAGCCGATTAATACAAACATACACGTAAAAAGGTTGGGTTTATTGTTTTTAATTTGACACACAAGTGACAAACCTGTTCTTTTTAAGCTTGGCCTCTGCTGATGGCATGTTTTCCAAACAACTAGGGCAATAGTGAGAGTCCACCTACGATAGCACACATGGCACAGTACAGTTATTGAAAAGGAATAGAATTAAAAAACAAATATTATAAATGTAGATTCATAATTACATGAACAATAATTTTGTCATTGCAAGTTGTGGAATGAGTTGTATTGTATTTTGCCTTGTATGAGATGACAACCCAAAGCTGAGGGTGTGGTGCGATTTTGAGAAAACTAGATCAAAATCACGTTTTTGAAACAGGATATACACAAAAAAAAACATTGATTCCTATGTCTAGATCAAATGAATACCGGGTCACAACATGGATATATCAAAATAATCTTGTTTACGCTAGCCAAGTTGTAGAAGCTAACCTAATCCATTATGATGTAGCGCTACGGAAGTTAGCTTCTTCAAAGAGCCAATAGCATTTAGAGTATTCTAGACCAACTGGACATTTATCCAATCAGGGACCAGAAGAAGCCGTGAAGACCCGCCCATCTGTCAAAGCTAGCAGCAGAGCCGTAACAGAGCTAACACCAGATCGGGGATTCTATCTCACTGAAGCCAATTATATTAATTACCTCGTGAGACACACATTCTAAAGACCGCAATTCACTGCAGTATCGACAGAAGTAAAGTAGTGATAAAGGAGCTCTGATCCTCTTCTCTCCACGAACCAGATAGAGCACAGTGTCCGGCTGCAGGAGAGACGCCATCTCTGCTACAGAGACGTGGTGAAAGCGCATGCGCACATGACGCCTTGTTTTTCATACTGGCCACCCATGGATCTATTCCAAACATGGTTCTATAATAATAGATTCCAACCCCCTTCCTTAACCATATCCAATTAGCCATAGATCGAATTATGACCAAAACAACCAATTCCTGAAATAAAGCTGTCAAAGAAGACTTGCAAGGACTGCTCAGCCTTCCGATTCTATCCTTAAAAATGAAAATAAATCACTCCCTGGACGAGATGTAGGTCCTCAGATAAGTGCCCCCCTCATTCTGGACTCTGGAGTATAATTTACTATACAAAAAAGAGTGAAAATAGAATAATTATGGGCAGTTGTAACCAAAATATATCCTGTCTTATTAGATAAACAAAATTGGCCGAAGTCAAATTTGTTTGCAGCCATAAGTCCGATTTGATTTTGCCGTGTAACTAATCACTTTGTTTAGAAGGTGTAAAAGGTGATCACAACAAATGCAGAAGGTAAACCAACTATTTGTATTGCTAAGCTTACAAAAGTTTGGCTGACCACACATCAATTTGCATAGGAATGACAAAACGTAAATTCCTAAGACTAAACGTCAATAGTAAACAAAATAATGCTATTCAGGCAAAAACTGATGCATATTTTCTCAAGTAAGTAAGTAAGTGTATTTATATAGCGCACACATGCTTTACAAGTTATCTGAACAGGAGAGGGCGTATTCCTCCTTGTGCGCTCATCCATAGCCGCAGCCCATAACCCACAGACAGCAGGAGGTCTTTAAAGGAGCAGAGCTGCGGCTTTACCTTCACTGAAGCGCAGAGATGGACGCAACACCGCGGGCGTTGGTTCCTTTGCTCCTCCTTGGGCTGATGAAACCCGCTGAATCCCTGCTTCAACAGGTAAAACTTTTTTATCCCATAATTAATTTTGTTTGCTCCAACAGTAAGAGCCTTGCAAAAGTAAAATGTTTTGAATAAATCAGACCACAACATCATGCTGATGTGAAAACTATAGTGAGATCAAACCATATTGAAAACAAGGAACTGCATGTAGTTAAATTTTAAAAGTTAGGTCTTACGGACACAATGTCCGTTATTGGACTAACTCAAAACAATTGTGTGCAGGATTTTCAATAATAAATTGAATCTGGTCAAGTTATTGCATACATATCAAGCCAATAATGCCACAAGTTAAGAAAGACATATATACTCCAACAATTGGCTTGAGTCTAATAATCATAACCCTCTTATATTTTGTTTATGCCATCAGTTCCGCAAGTTCAATAATACATAATAAATACATGTCATTTTAATTTGTTTACAAACTAACTACTTCTGCTTTTTTTTTTTTAAGATGTAGGAACTATTTGTTTTAATTTATGTTTTTGACCCCATAGTTTTTTATTATAGGTCTAAAGTGATCCACCAAATGGTTGAGGAAACCATTAGACACACTGTTTGTGTCCTTGGGCTGCAGGATTCTGGCAAAATATCAAACATTGCAATTTTTTACATATTTCATCTTTAAAAAGTTTAAAAGTAAACATTTTGTTCGTAGTAAAAATAACAAATAAGTGTAGATTTTAAGCCATTATCTAACACACAACACTTCAAAATCAACCATTGTTGTAGTGGAAAATACATTTTTGTGTTTAGTTATTTAGTTTGTATTTTCTCACAGTATTCCTATAGTTAGACCTGTGTTTATAAGGTCAACAGTTTACAAATGTATCTCTAAAATATTTATTTCAAAACCTGTTTAGAAATTCAATTTGCTAATTGCAACCATTAAAATTGTCAATTTGTATTAAGCGTGCAACCCTATTGTGTGCTTCTTTTTATGAACAATGAAGCCTTTACCCGTACAGTCAGTGCTTTTTTCATGGGTTGCATGGTGACGGCCCTCAGGTTTAACATTAACCCCCTCTCTCTGTTGACTCTGGGCCTGTTCTGGCAGATGTTTCCCTCACATAAGTGTCTCACACCACCATGCGTCACCAGCCGTGAGATTGTGGTACTATATCTTATCATGTTCAAATGTTTTTTGGACACACTGTAGCAAAAGTATTTAACAACTGTTTGTGTTTCTTGGAGTTTAGATAACATTTAACGGTGATATCTGCAAATTCAATTATATTTAATTTCTAAAGGAATACATCTTTTATACCATAGTACACATTACTGTAGGATTTGCTCGAGTAGAATAAGTTGCATCCAATGAGAAACCTCTGGGGTTACTCAAAGTTTGTGAGTAACAAGAAGATACAAACTCGGAAATTGTTTTGGCTCTCGGTGCCAACAAGTTAAAAAATTAGGAATAGAATAAGGAATGAAAATAAAAAAATCTGGTTTATGATAGCTACACCCATTCCAGATAATACAAGACATCCATGGTTTCTCAGAGTTGAAGAATTAGACAAGAAAATACCTCAAACTATGAGTAATTCCATCTTTACTTGGTAATACAAAAATGAATTATTCTCCCTACATCTCAAGGGGAAGAAACTCTTTCTATAAATGACTTGATTCTTGTCTTGAGAGAACTGATGTTTTCACTACAGCTTTAATTACATCTATTTTCACCTTTCTTACATGATCCATCCATCCATCCATTTTCTTCAGCTTCATCCGTTGCCAGGTCGCAGAATGTTATGTTATGAAATGGCATAAAACATGTTAAAGAAATTAAAATATGTTTTAATTCTTACGAGTTTTAATTCTTTTATTCGTGCCACAGCGCTGCGACTCATCTGTCAACGGCACCATTTACCAACACCAGGCCCAGAGTCTGAACGGCAGCTACACCGTGAGTCTGGAGCAGTTCAGAGGGAGGGGCGTCCTCTTCGTCAATGTGGCCACCTACTGAGGCTACAGTTACCAGTATGTAGGTAAGGAATGGGGAACATATGCAGATGGTATAAAACATCCTAGCATAATTTATTTGATTGTAAAGTTTTCATATTGGCAAATTGTTTCAAAAATGTTGTATCTTATTGGTTGTGAAATGGGAAATAAACTGTACAGTGTGTATTTCTGTCCCAACCATATGGACAACAAATGACCACAGCACGTGACAGAGTCCAAAAATGCATGCATGTGAAAACTTACTGTTTTGTGGACTGAAAGTTAGGTACCCTAGCTTTAACTAAATCTCAAAATATTTTAATGCTTCTCCAGGGTTTTCATGATGATTTTTATGGTGCTTTTTCAGTTAGTGAACAAGAGATCACCTTTACTCAGTTCTCAAAGCTCTCCCCAAGGCTCTCTCGCACAAGCTGACATGTTTTTTCAAATAAGATTAAGCCTGCATTGTTTTAGGTCTGATTTGTTAACAATGTTTTAAAGTTATACCCTCATATTATGTATCAAATGCCTGTTGTCCTTTTTTCATCTTTATTTGAAGCATCAAGCTGGCAAATAACAACTTGAATTATATAGACACAATGTTAAGCAATATTTACTTAATATTAATGCATAAAATAAGGAATAAAAGTAAAAAGTAGGGAGGGGGGATTGTAGTCTGTTGTAATGCATTTTGGGGTACTTTGTGTGCTTATGTGCGTGTGCGAGTTTGTGCTTGAAGTCTTAGTGATGTGTTTGTGAAATAACAACTAACAACCTTGCCCTAAATGGCCTTCAGCATTAATGTTAACCAATGTCATGTTTTTTACCCAGACTTGAATGCACTTCATGAGGAGCTACATCCATTCGGGCTCACAATCCTCGCCTTCCCGTCTAATCAGTTTGGGAAGCAAGAGCCGGGAGGAAAACATGAGATCTTGCCAGCGTTGCAGTAAGTAGACATCATGATAGTTCCAATTGAATAGTTCATTTACAAAAACGGATAAGTGTCGCTAGAAAAACATATTAAAAGCTTACTATTTGCCCTTTGGGGCGTGGAAAGCACTCTCGCTTCTCAGCAAGAATGTTCTGGGTTCAAATACCGGTCGTAGCAGGGCCTTTCTGAATGGAGTTTGCATGTTCTCCCCGTTACTGCGTAGGTTTCCTCCGGGTACTTCGGTTTCCCCTACCATTTAAATCATGTGCAATAGTTCAGGGTGAATGAGTGTGTGTTTGTGAGTGTGAATGTGGGAGAACGGGTGCAAATTTAGCCCATGACTACAACGCGGAGTGATGTGTTCATTAACATACTGTTCCTACCAAGTAAACATTAAATAAGTAAATACCAAGTCTTTTTTTGGAAAGCCGGACCTATTTTAGTGTCATACAAATGTGTTCATCCAAAAGTTTTATTCCTCTAGCTTCAGGGAAAGTTTATCCCTGTCTTGAGCAAATTCTTTCAAATGTACTGCAAATAGCAAAATGTGCTCAAGATTGAAGGTAGAGAAATAAAACTTTTGAATGAATTTTCTAATTGGATATATCTGTTTTTGCAAATGAAATGTAAGTGCAAATTCTGTAGAAAATGAAGCATTCACATAGATTAAAACTATAGCAAGTAGAAACCAGTACCATCATCACTAGTTTTAGCTTCTGCTACTTTAAACTGCATTGTTAAATTTAATCTCTTATTTTTTTTAAATCTCATTTTCATTATATCAGGCTACTTCAATATTTGTCAGGGATACTATTTCTTTCAGACACACACTAATATGTGTCCACAAAACTCCACATTCATGGACAGGATGAAACGATGCATATCATTTAATCTTCTGAAACACAAGACTCTGCTAAGCTATGGAGAAGTATTTGTATTGCATACTGGAGCTCCTGTCACAGAGGATTCTTATTTAAGGCTAATCTCCTGAACAAACAAGGTGCTCTTTTTTATGCAATAGTCCAGTACGGCGCTTCTCAAACTTCAAAAACATTTCAGACATAATAATAGGATACACTACAATCACTTCTTAAACACAACAACTCATTACATCTGGGGTAAATAACTTTCAAAACACAAAAAAATATACAATTAGTTCCTTGCTCCCAGAAATTTGCCACATCTTCAGCTTTTTCAGCCCGAAGAGTCAAATCGTGACTCACAGGGTTCTTTATCGTATTCAAAAGATAATATGTTTTCGCTCCTACATACATAGGCGACAGTGGCTCAGTTGGTAGAGCATTGGCCTTTGGGCCTGAAGGCCGTGGGTTCAAGTCCACCATAAGACCTTGTTCACGACTCCCACTGATGACTACTGTCGTTGTTTCCATGGGCAAGACAATTAACCCCACTTTGCCTGAAGCCCCTGTTGGAAGATCTCAGCTCCTGTGGACTCACCACCTGCAGGAGGATCAGTGAGGGGCTGGTGCTCTGTGACTGGGTGCAGCTCTGACTGCCACCCCTCCTGACCCAGAAATGGATCAAGGGGAAGAAGATGGATGGATGGATGAATGGATATGTTTTCTATTTGAAGACTGCATGTTTTGGTCTGATACATTTGTTTTTAGAACTCTGGTTTTTGGGACAAAGAAAATGTATTATTTTGGATTAACAAGTTAGGAAACCTACCTACAAGGACATACCTAAGATACATTTCAACATTTCTAAAGTGTTAATGGATCATGAACAACATCAATAAATATGAATTGTAAATAAGGTTAAACATACAGTAGATATGAGGGTATTGGTGGTCCTTGGTTTTAACATAAACAATCCCAACTCTTGATCTATTATTAAAAGTTGAATCTAAAGTCATTTAATTTGTGTAGTTTTAAATTGTAATTGTGTTCCCTGTTTGTGTTGTAGGCATGTCAGACCAGCCAACGGATTTGTGCCAAATTTCCTGTTATTTGAGAAGGGGGACGTAAACGGACACAGTGAACACCCAGTGTATACGTTTCTCAAGGTAAGTCTTTAAAACAAGCATAAGACACTAATTTTTTTCCTCAGCTGTTCTCTTGGACAAGAAAAAAATATTATTTTAGCTTACTTTTATTTAAAGAATTTGGTTTCCAGAGGCCCTAGCAAGTTACAGCTTAAAACCAGTCTTTCGAGTGTGTAAATGGTCCTAGTTACATAACTGCTTGTAACTGAAGCATTCAACATTGTGAAGATCTTTTTGTATAATTAAAAATATAATATTTGGTTTTTAAATGTTATTGACTCTGCAACTGCCGTAACATGCATAGACAGTGCGTCACAATTCTGTAATTGATTAGTCCTAGCTTTACTGTTCAAAACTTATATTTTGGTTTTAATATCACAACAAAACTATGCACAAGACCAATTGTTCCCAAGACTGATTCAAGCTTAGTATAAGTCTGGGTTATATTAAGTTAATAATATAATAATAATAATCCAGGGACTGCAGATGGAAACTAGCTGTTTAGCTATAATCTGGTGCAGAACATATCTGTCTTTGAGCTTAATGTCTCTGTACACTGTCCCTTCAAATAAAGACTAAACTAACTAAAAAAGTCTCTTTGATCTTAATAAACAAATGTATTGTTTCTTCTGCTCGAGCAAGGAGCATTATTTTGTTTGTGCAGAATTATGTTCTTTATAACTATGTATTGTGATGAAAACTGTAAAAAACATTCATTAGTTCTACTAATGTACTACAAATGAATGAATCAATCGATGTATTATTATGAATCTAAGCATGCCTGGATGAAAGACTTGTTTATATTTTACATCTGTGATATGGTAAAATAATATGTTTAATGTGTGCAGAGTGCTTGCCCTCCAGTCGGAGACAGTTTCGGCAGCGTATCAGGCCGACTCTTCTGGGACCCAGTGAAAGTAAACGACATCAAGTGGAATTTTGAGAAGTTTTTTGTGGGTGTGGATGGGAAGCCTGTGATGAGATGGCATCCCAGTGTGGAGGTGTCGGAAGTCCGTGAATTTCTGACCAGTTACTTTCACAATTTGTCCCAAATGAGGCTGTAGATTAAACATTAGACTGCGTGGTTGTGCTAACGTAATGGCTTGGAGATGCTGTATGGAGGAAAATCCATGAGGAATGAAGAAGAGGCTTGAAAGCAGTTCATGTGGTGCCTTTTCGGAGTCTGGGTCCAGGGCAGTTCTTTGGTGCATTCAGAGCGGCCCTGTGAAACCCACAAGCATGCGGTTTTCCTCTAGCACAACACCTGCCAGCCATTCATGTCTCAATGTTGAACTCAATAAATCTTACAAAGAAAAGTGTCATGTGTGAGTTTATATTCACAGGCGATAGCAATGACATGTTGTGTGCAGTTTTGTTTTGACTGTTTAAGAATAAAAAAATATATAATTATTGATAGCAGATTGACATTGGCAGCTGGTCTAGGTTTGTCCTCTTGTTTTAATACAGATGTAAGCAATGTGGAGATTGTGTAGTCTATTACATGTACTTGCAACAACTTGGACGCAACAGAATGTCTTTCAGAGCAATATGTATTTATAGTGTGATGAACAAGATTAGTCATGCAAAACGTATGATTCTGTAAACATTGTCGGCTAATCTTTTATTCTTTTCTTGGTTCTTTGTTTATTATCTCATGCAGTTACGTAAGTGATTACCAGTTACCAGTGATTTACATATCACACTGGTGCCGGTGTCAGAATTACACTCAAAGAAATCACATTTATAAACATCATTATGACCAGCGAGAACCTTTTCATTTTCTTTTTTAATCAGTCAAATGTTACAAGGAACTGATAGGTACTGTTCACTTTCTAAGACACAGCAGGTCTGTGAGATGATCAGAGCTACATAGCTGTTGATGTTGACTATGTGCAAATATAAACTACAAAATACATTGCATAGAAAATCAGAGAGCTCTATGATACAGGATCAATTCCAAATCGTTACATGTAAAATGTGTTCCTTTTATCCCAAATATTTTTCCAAACGTGCAGATTGAACAGCAGTGGAAATGTGTGCACTTTCTCGTCTTCATTTGACAAAAGCAACAGGAAAGCAAGTTGAGTAATGAGGCATAATTGTAAGTTTCCCTCAAAGGTTCTGTGAAACATAAGAAACAACAACCATGTTATTAAAAGAAATGCCTTTATAACTATAATTTTGAGGTCACAAAGTAGTAAAAAACATACAGTACATATCACACAGTGGTATTTTAGACGGCCAGAGATGTTTGCACAGTGGAGCCCTTTATTTGCTGCAGATTTAGAGTTACAGGAGTTTATAAGCAAAAAAACATGTGTCACTAATTTGTGCATGACAAAATTATGAACAAACTTGAACAGAGGAAAATATGACGTATACAATATGCATTAAAGTTGATAAGGATCCATACATTTTCCAAATCTGACCAGTTTAGTCCACTGCTACAAAATGTAGTCACAGTAGACATAAAACGATTACAAGAACCCATTTCAATAAATATTTTATTTAGACATACTGTGATGACCACACTTTGACACTTGGGGGCAGTACAGTGTACATGGTGCTGTAAGTGCAAGACTTGGATGTTTTACATAACACAGATTCTGTTGCCCAAGTGTTACTCTGTGTTTGGACTCTGGACATGAGCAAAACTACATTAATATGGAATGGAATGTGCCAGAATATGTTTTTTTTACCCTGACTTCAGTTTAAGTTAATACTGTACAGTATGTGCTATATGCTATTTTATAATGTAGATCATGCATATTAGATATATACTTTTGGTTGACTGCAGCTTAAGGGAAGGACAATAATGAGAATCATGATCAGAGTCAGAGTGAGGGAGAGGAGCATGTAGTATACTAACAAACATGGATCAATGTCAGAAAACTTCTAAAAATCTTGGACCAAGCATGGATTGTGGGAATAAGTGCTTTATTGTATTGCAGTGTATTGTTATTATGATAAATTAGTCATTCTGCTATTCCATTGAATTCCCTCCACCCAAATGTGCCAAGAACCCCTGAAGCCAGACCAGTGTTGTACGGTTGTTGCGTACTGCTTCCGGAAAGGCACTTTTGTTTTTGTTTTGTATTTTATTACCGAAAATATACAATTTTTGGTTTGTACAAGAAGAATTGTGGTGCCAAGTCAAAATAGCAGTCCTCTTTAATTTAGATAATGGTTGGGTAAGTAAGACTCAGGGAAGACTAACATTTTAAGATTGCCAGTCAAGTTGCTGTCAAGTTGAGTCAGTTTTCTGGGAGAAGTAAGGCAACTTGAGCACAACCCCCCCTCCCCCCTTCCTCCTTTATCTATCTGCATTATTAGGATTTTGACTGTAGTGTGTTCATTGCTATTCATCCGTTGTTCCATTGTTTGTTTCATGACACGACGGGACTGCTGAACTCAGCCCCCTCCATCTTGTGGACTGCCCCCCCCTGCCTGGAGTTGCTTCAGTCCTGCACGGCACTTGTTCTCGTTCTACAACCACTGCATGGCTTTGGTCCTCATTCTGTAGCTTATCCTGGGTCTATAGCCCGTCCGTCCGTGTGGAGTGAATCCCTCTTTCAATGTGGGTCTCCCCGAGGTTTCTCAATTTTCTTTAGAGTTTTTCCTTGCCAACGCAGAAGGGTCTGCTAGACTGTTAGTGTCTAACAAGAAGGACTGTAGTGATCCTCCAGGACACTCTACATTGTATCCTTTGTGGACATTTATCAACATTCATGGACATTGCTTTGCATTTTTTCCCCTCATTTGACATTATATTGAGAATAAAGATTACCATAATAGTTAATTTAACTCCTGTGGAAAAAATCCAAACACTTAGACCAATGTCATTTTAACATTATCAGTGTGTTATGAAATAAGTCTTCAGGTCCAAAACTCAAAGTAGTCCTCAGCTACATTTTAAAACAGTATCATTGTAAAATGCTAATATATCACCTTGGTTACAGCATGTCTCCATAGGCCTAAATACTGTAGCTCGTACAATCAATTACAATTCACCATGGGTAGTTTGCCTTTTATACCAATCATTTTTAGTATCAAGTATTGCTCCACGAATTAATTTACTGCTTAGTTTAACTGCTTTTAAAACTTTCATTTCCAATGCTATAGAATAATATAGAGATTTTCTGGCACTTTGTTGCCCTCTTTTGCCAGAAACAACAGTAATGTAGTTTTGTCATGAAGGATAGGTGAATAAAAGCAACCTTCAACCTTTCTGAAAACATTTCTTTATTACATGTAAACAATAATTATGAATTACCAAAGTAGAAAAAACATACATATATTTAAAACCGCATAAAAAAAATTCCCTTTACAATCATCTTTATTTTTGCAGAGGTTCTGGGATGACTGCACTCTGACACTAGGATGGTAAAGTTTGACCACATACAAATAATACTGTCGCAAATATCATAGATAGATAATAGATTAAGATTAAGAGATCCTTTATTTGTCCCGCAGAAGGAAAATGTCAGTGTTGCATCACCAGTTACAGAACATAGGAATAAAATCTCTCAACTCATTCATTCATTGAATATCCTCTAAAAAAAATAACATAATTTTAGTGGTTGGGGAAACCAGAACACCCAGAGAAAACCTACTGTATGCAGGCGTGGGGAGAACATGCAAACTCCACACAGAAAGGCCCCATCTGTGCGTGGAATTGAACTTGAGTAGGACCTCATTTCTGTGTAACAGTCATAGATAGTTCTCCACAATATCAATCTGGGACTTCTGAAGACAATCCTTTTGAGTAAAGGAGGGGCAGGCAGCAGAATACTTCGGGCTGATTGGGCGAAGTGACGCTGTTTGCCTGCCTACCACGGTTTGACTGAAGCCAATCACGGTAACAAATTAATTTGTTGTCAGTTTTATTTGGATGATGACTGCCTTGTCATCATGTCTTTGAGTGACTTTTGCCATTTTTGTAACTCAAAGTTGCGGCCTAAAGGCAACCTCACCAACACAACACAACACAACATCTTTCAAAAAAGAAACTGGAGATTCTCAACTCACAAATACTGCGAGAATTTAGCTTGCAGGCAAGGTTACTGAAGAGCACCTATAGGACAGGTACAGAAAGAAGCAATCCTGCTTTGTTTCTCTTCTCACAGTTTGTTGCGGCGCTGTGCTGCCTGACTGCGGCAGTGGAGGTAGACAGAGATGGGGTGAACAAACGCCAGAAGACTAAGAATAGTGAGGCCAATGTTCACCTGAGACGGGGAAAGAAAATCAATCTTGTCAACTCTGACACACATTGAGCAAATGTTACTGTATTTTGTTCTGAACTCACATAGAAAGGATCTCCATTCAGAACGTCTTTCACCAGAGTGACACAGGGATACTGCATGATTGAGAACAGTGCAGACAGAGCCATGACCAGCCCGTAGACTTTCCCAAAATGGCAAGACGGGAAACTGCAAGATAAACACATGCGAGTGATATTCTAATCTCTTATTGATAAATGATCTGTTGCATCACTCTTTTACGCTTGCAAACTGGCTGCTTTCAAGTTTGAATAATTTATTATGGATATATGTGTTTCTTTTTTGATAGAGAAAACGTATTTGAGGCGGCATCTGCATGTGAAAGTCTGATCCTATCAGGTTCCAGAAGCTAAGCAAGGTAGTGAAGAGCAGGTGGCAGCTGGGGCAGCTGCATCTGTCTGGAGTGACTAATGCCATGTGTAGTGTCTTTGAGTGGGCAGACAAATGTAAAACTTAAGCACTGTCATTATTCCTTGATTTAAACAAGGATAGTGGTCTACACGATATCTTCTCCACCAGGACATGCGTGTGAGCTTTTAGTATAATAGTATAATGCTGGTCAACACATCCATACATAAACCGTGTTTGAAAATTAACAATATTTTCTGGTATCCTGACGGTCCTGATCCACCTGCTTCCTTATATCCATGTGTTTCATAATGGAACAATTGGACGCTGAAATCCATCACCATTAACTCACTACTGCCCAGTGGCCTTGACCATCATAGTCAAGCTTCTAATATAAGATAAGATAAACCTTTATTCATCCTTCAGTAAGGACATTTCAATGTCATAATTGCACACTACAGGATGAGTGGCATTCAGGCTTCTTTACCCATTTCAGTTTGCGTATTGAGAGAACCTCTCTACAACTGATACCAGAAGATCTACACTATCCACCATTAACAACTGGTGACAATGTAGCGGATTTGACTTGAATCGGAAGTGTGCAGGGGGATGCTGAACTCTCTGATGGAGACAGTTAAAGTCGACAAGCTGTCATCAATGACTACAACTGTCAGCACAGGCACGCAGAGCCTTTTATTGCTTACGCTGCTCACACACAATTGCCGTTCAACCGATTTGCACAACAGCTTCAAAGTTTGTGGATGACACCATCATCGATAGTCTTATCACTAAAATGAGCATACAGACAGGATGTGGAGGAGGATATATGTGCTCCACTCACTATCTGATCCTGAACATGAGCAAAGCAAAGGAAATAGAGATGGAAAAAATCTGCATTTTACTTTTGTAGATCACAAAATTGAGGTAGATAGGGTCCAGAGCACTATGGGAATGCATCTGACCGCAATGGCTCCCCTGCAGCAGCTGCCAGAGATTTTCACAGATCGAACGCTGTATAAAGAGAGTAGATGGGATTCTAAAGGATTGGCTTGTTCTTTTATTATTCTTTCCATGTCGAATTTGAACTTATGCAATTAGGGAAGAAAAACCAAAGTTTGTTTCCTGGCTAACAACATGACTCAATCAACTTCCCTAATTTTTTTGTTGTTGTTGAAATTTGGTCATTGATAATTCCATCATGAACTATGTATGAAGTTGCATTGAACTGTCGTGGTTCTGTGATAATCTTATTTTCAATCTTGCATAAAATCAATCAAATCATTGCTGTAATGAATTATTTATTACTCAACTCTAATGAATTATCACTCAACTGTTTTAACAATCATCAATGCGCTGTGATATCTAATTTCAAGAATCAAACAAAGCAGTTAAATAATATTCTCCAGCGGCTTCATCCATAGTTTATCTGGCTCAAACATCTGAGCCAGATATAACCATATTTGAGCTAGTAAACCAACTAAATAATATTCACTAGTTCTAGGCCTACATTATCTCATAAGACAAGTTTCCTTCTCTCCATCCGACGGTACACTTGTGAGTCTATTTGTGTGTAATGGACACACATGTGGGATACTCACGCCATGCTGATGAAGGCTGCATTTCCACCATAGAGGAAGGAGCGGTTGAGCACCTGCAGGATGAAGGTGGCGTACTGAAGGGGCAGACTGGGGATGGAGGCAAACATAGAAAACAACACACACTGGAAGGCCGTCAAGGCCAGAGACAGCACTGAGGCCCTCAGGTCTGCCTCCTGCTCACTCTCTCCTGCAACAAATCACACAATCAAAATGAAATCTAGACCAGACTGTTAATGAAATGAGGACCAAGCTCTGGAGTCTCTCATTTGTACAAGCTGAGATGGATTACCAAATAGGTTTCAATACTGGTCATTTGGGCCGAGCCTTTAATTCTTGTTACCGGGACCAGGGGGTGTACTATAGGTTAAAAGGACAACGTATCTCAGAGCCAACTTCTCCTGTACATTCCAATAGCACAAGCTACAGTTGGCATCACGCACTCAGACAAACGTGCAAGAGATGTGCAATAGTGCAAAAGAGCCTGTGACTGGAATATTCACAGGAGAAAGTTGGAAGATATAATTCAGAAGTTCATCTATTTGTCTATTTCAACATAAAATGTGAACCTAACATATGATATAAATGAATCAAATTGTTTCCGTAAAGCGCTTTTCACACAAATAAAGAATGAAAAGTGTTTTTTGTACATTTGAACTTGTATCACGCACAATCACCAGGTGTGTGCAATATTTGTTTCTGACCAAATCTGAACGTAATGATTTACATTTTAACTGTAAATGAAAACATCAAAAAGAATGTCATGACTGGCTCTTTAACAGATGGGATTGAGTCAAAGCTGCCTTGTCGATGGCCCGTACAGCTACAGGACAGCTCCAGGCTCGAGAAGTAAAGATTATGCCCACTTTTTTGTGAAATACTGATAAATATATAGAGAGTATTTTGTTGTACCTTCAGCTCGTGGCTTGCCCTTGTATCGGTCCATGATGATGCCGTTCCATGGAGCACACAGCACGCCACACAACTGCGTGGCAGCAAACGCATTGATGTACTTGCTCACTGCAACAACCACCAACAAGCAGATATTTTATTCATCATTTATCATTTCTTACAAAACATATTCTATTATGAGGTGTACGACAGATGGTGTTATGTGTATGGCTACGTTTTTGCATTGTGCCTTGAATATGTTGCTTGATGAAGGCATAACGCATTTCCCAATACATATTTATTTTTCAAATTAGACAGTGTGGGAATTGTTATTTTGATTCTACTGTGGGCTGTACAGCCTCTCCTCCAACGAACCGGATCCGTAGTAATTTATGTGCAGAATTCTCATTCTTGAATTTACTCAAGAGAAAACATGATTGCTACTTAGGTTTACTTTGTTAACACTTTTTTGACTAACTTTGTACATGTATCTAAAAGCGCTGGTCAAAAGACCCAAGGACACTGTACAAACACGGTTAAAAACAGGGTGCAACTTAAAAACATTAGATTAACTTAAATAAATTTCCACACCGATACTTTTATGTTATTTGTTTATGACCCCAATAATGCAATTTGCGTCCTGCATGTTCATGTGGGATGCAATAGAATCATTATTGCCATGACAAAATATAATTCTGGGGCCTCATACATACTGTATATATAAGTACTTTGAATTGTAACAAGAAATACAGAGTTGTACAAACAAAACCTCCATCAGCTACAAAACACAGAATGTTCAGATTTTGACCCAAATGACATGTCAAGTTTTCTCATCATAGATCACACACTTAAGTAAACAATGTTGTAAGTTAAGCACACATATATACTCCCCGCTCCCTCTCTGCTTGTATGTATATACTGTATGCATGTATAGATTGTATAGGTTGCCATGGTACCCAGTGAAGGCTCCCCCGCCGTGAGCCTCTGCAGCATGGGATTGAGGGTGCCGATAAACAGATAGTGGCGCAGCTGAATCACTGACAGCCAGATGAGGTGCCAGAAGAAGAAGCGCGACATAACGCAGTCACGGAAACTCTTCACTGGGATAACAACAGAGAACAAACATTAGCACAACAGTCAGCACATTCAGCTGTGCAGAGGTTAAGCACGACATCGATGAGGTATGACAGTTTTAGAAGAAGAATTTCAAGAAAAATACTTAAGGTAAGTGTTTAGTAACCTAAAACCTGTTGTTTGTATTAACCCTGATTAGTGATATACAGATCATTGCATCAGAAACTGTATACACTGCAAAAACATCCAAGCAGTGTTTTCCAGTGAGATGATTTCCAGAATATTTTTTTCTACAATTCATATATTGATAGTTTTGTTAAAATAGATCAAATAGCACTGTTCATTTCTCAAATAAACAACATAAAGCATATTTTTGTTTGTTTTTATGCTTCAATTATATACATAATAGTATCTGTTATATATGTTGTATTATATCTGTTTATATACATATACTAGTGATTTGGGTGACTTTATATAACATTTATATAAATAAAAATTACTTACTTACATAAATGTGGGTTTCATGCCGATTTCAGGGGTAACTGCCTGAAAAGTTTGGACCCTCCTGAATAATGACCATCTGCTGTAAATATGCCCTGAATAAGCTCAAAGATAGTTTTTGTCCGTAGTCCCACTGAACATGTTAGTGGCAGGAGAAACCGCAGAGCAGACACAGGGAGAACATGCAAACTCCACTCAGAAAGTCCCTGTGCTGTCTTGTGTGGAACCACTGCACCACCATTTGCCCAAATATTTTTTATTTTTTATTTATTTATTTATTTAATACTTTTTATTTTTTTTGAAAACTGTAACTGGCTGTAAACTAACTTACAATTAGTTTTATTGTGGATATATATTTTGGATGCATTCATAGAACATACAACAAAACAGATTGAGATACTGCAGATCGTTGAGTGGTCCATTAAATTGAAAACTTAAAACAATAATCTTATATACGTACATTTTATACTCAACACATGTTGATCTGCATTTAGTAATATGCATTTTATATTTGTATTCATGCACTTAAGAGTGACCACTGTTCTTTCATGATATGGCTGGATATCCAATCATAGACATTTTTAAACTCATATTGAAAAATATATGAGAAACATTTGCTGACCTTGTTTTGAACCAAATTCTGTTTGGAGTGGTGTTTCCTCTGCAGATGTTTTTATGCTGTTCTCTGTGGAAGATTCAAGACTCTGAGGTTTGGCTTTACCACAGGAAACCCTGACAAAAAATAAGTTTAGATGAAAGTCAGTCAGAGACAAGCACATTCAAATGAATGAATTATTATTAGTTTGGGTTAGAGTTCCCATTAGTCTCGGTTCAAAGCATAAGTCATATAGTTATGTACAGTAATTAGAACCAATAATTACAAGTCAATAATTAGAGCACTGCATGCTTATTAAAGGCTTATGTTACACGTAAGTTGAGCTAGCTAGTTATATTTGTATTTAAAGACATGTTTTTTTAATTTGAACTGAAGTTTGCATACTTGTAATATAAATATATTGCCATAAAGCTAAATCTTTGAGCCATTCAATACCAAGAGGTAATAAAATAGGTTATTGTAATACGTATGAGGGAGATCCACAAATCACACTTCATGCATTTGTTTTCTTACTTACACATGAAGATTACGTCGTGTTATACCTAAGAAAATGGTAGATGTAAAAAAGGAGAAGCTTTTAGACAAATTGTAGCGTTAAGAAATTTTTCCGATGGAGTCCGCTACTTTTTTATCCGCATAGAAATTATATTGTGTAATCATAAGCACGCTGACGGACCAAGCCGCACGGAAAGGCGCTCGTTAGCCCAAAATATAACCCACAGGTATTTTTGCCGTACAGTGTCACAGCTTTCAGTCAAAATTCAGAGGAAACATGCTTGTGGAAATGGTCTTTGACTCCAGATCGGCACCAGATCATGCCAGACACTTTTAGCATCAAAAGAAGGGCTGGCAGAGTTGAAAGTGATTCTGGTCTCTGTGGTCTCTGTGGCCGACCAAACCAGCCACAGAGACCATGAAGACAAAAACATTTATCTGACTTTTGCTGCTGTATAGATAGACACAAGCACAATTTAAGAAACTTTTATATTTTGGTGCACGCTGTTTCTGCCTGACACTTATCCAGAGGCTCTGAACCAGGACTGGACTCGATCAAAACTAGGTCTCAACCAACAAGGCTTTGCTGCGCACAGACACAGACACACATACACACCAGAGTGGACTGGTTTAGGAGCAACACCAAATAGAATCTGTTTTTAAAAGTTCTCTGTATTCAACAACAACAATTATGCAGAAGAATGAGGAGACCCCAACAGAAAGCACACATATAGCTCCATTCTTGAATAGAATTAAATGTATTGAGTGTAAGAGGGCCGACAGTAGCTCAGTTGGTAGAGCATTGGCCTTTGGGCCTGGAGGTCGTGGGTTTGAGCCCACCATGGGACCTACTCCAACTGCTCCCACAAATGTCTACTGTCGTTGTGTCCTTGGGCAAGACACTTAACCTCACATTGCCTGAAGCCCCCGCTGAAAGACCAAGGCAGTTTCACCACTGACGGAGCAGCCAAATCCCTGTGGACCCACCACCTGCAGAGGATCAGCGAGGGACCGGTGCTATGCTATTGGGTGGCAGCTCTCATTGCCACTCCCCCGACCCATTGGACTAATAAAGGGGTTGAAAATGAATGAATGAGTGTAAGAGGAGTGTTTGGAGACGTACCCGTAAGAGTATTTTTCGGGCAGTGGGTAGGGGATGAAGTGTCGGGGGAGAAGGAAGAAGGTCCTGACCACATGGATGCTGCTGCAGGCTGACAGGACCAGGAACAAGGCACGGAGGGAGACACCGGCCTCATGTACCAGCTGAAAAAAAAAACTGATAAATTAGACTCTATGTGACTCACTATGAGTCTAATAAACAGTACCTATGTGACTGTTTTTCATTTTTAAAACCTTCACCTTTATGATTAAGAAAAGTGCAGAGGAAGAGTCAAACGCTCCGTTGTATAGGGTTATGACGGTGGACCGCCGGGCACCAAACAGGTTTCCCACCTACACCAAAAAAGGAGGATAAGGGGGAATCTAGGAATGTGCAATTTATACATAAACTGTGTATGTCCTTCTTTTTTATATATTATTAGCAACTTATAGGGCATTGTGGGAACCCTTTAGAACCTGACACATTGCAGCAGGCAATATATTCAGATGAATTGGTAAAATGCTGAAAAGTACACATTTGCAAGTGTCTTTCTGTGATGTTCTTACCTGCATGTTTGTCATTAAGATTAAGATACCACCAACTGCCAACAACGCCATGGCTGGAAACAGCAGGTTAGAAAGAACTGGTGGACGATTAAAAAAAAACCTTAAATATGATTATACAAACAACACAATAACAATGTTTTTCATCTTTTTTTACCTGCTGATGAAAATGCTACCAATAGTGTGGCCATTGTGTAAAGAGATCTGGAAAAACAAAAACTGATTTAGATGTGCCATTAATGGGTTTCAGGGTTATTAGAAATTAGTGCACATATTAAACATAATACATGTGTTGATTGAAGAAGTTGTTAGAAGTTAGCATTTGACAGAAAGTGCAATAGATAGGTTTGGCATTTCCTACCAGGAAGTTACACATTTGCACTTGAGAGTATTCTAGTCTCTACTGTATCTCTAACCTCTATACTAATGCTTAATGCTCACTTTTGAGCCAATTATTGTTGTTATAATGGGGTTAAGGAGGCATTCCAAATTCTAGCTGTATCAGATTTCAGCAAAGGTTCCTCCTTCCTATCCTTACTTGTAAAATTCTGCATTTATGAAACAGGCATCTCCAGGTTTGATCAAGTGAAATTGAATACCTTTTTTGACTTTTATGCCAAGTAGGTCAATAAAAAGAATAGGAAAACACAGAACGATAAAAGAAGGATGTGCCTTTCTGCTTGTGTACAAGTCTCTCCATGGCCTTGTTGTGCCATAAGAACCAACTCAGACTCTGAGGAGCACAGGGACTGGCTAGAGTCAGGAAAACCCATGGGGAAGCAGCTTTTCGGGTTTTCTGGAAGTCTTCTTCAAAATGTGAGACAATGTAACAATGTTCAAATCCAGCTTGAAAACAGTTTAGCTGTGCACACAACTTACAACAAGAAACTCCAGAAGAGACATTGAGGTCACAGAATTATGTAACAACTATGAGCTGGAGACTTTTTCCAAATGCACTGGGCAGTAATGCATGCCAGACTGAGAAATGAGAGAGAAAAGCCACAGAAATTCTCTAAAATATGCTCAAAGTTCAACAGATGGGAGGGGTTTTTGTGTGTTTGGATCTCAAACACACAAAAACTTTTTTTTAAGTAATACCTGTTTGTTATTTAGGATTATGGCATAATCTGGGATAAGAAAGAACCCATATGCGTTTCATTAAAATGGGTGGAGGAAAAAACAACCAGAGGAATGCCAATAGAGCAGTCGGTGAGAAGAAACATGGATAAAGTCAAACTAACACTGTCAAACAGGAAATTAAATGGGACAAGAATGTATTTGATTATTAAGGATTATAATGTGAAGTGTTTCTGTTGGCCAATGGATTTAATGTGTGTGGAGGCCTGTCAAATCATTATGGTACTTGTTTGAGTTGAATCAAAAAATAAAATTGTACAAATGTTTTCATGGCCATTGGTGCTTGTCAGAAAGGAAAGCTTTCATTTATAACACATGTGTCAAAGTCAAGGCCCGCGGGCCAAATCCGGCCCGCGAATGAATTTTACATGGCCCGCTGCCTGCCATTGACGCACTATTACGTCAAATGTGTTTTCCGCTATTTTCATGTTCCCAGATGGCTATTATATCTAATATGTTTGGGGATAAGCTTGAGAGCATATTGAATCGAGCCAGCAGGTGGCAGTAGCGCTCTCTGAATGATTTGAAAACAGCTAGATGCACTTGTTGCGCCCCTTTTTTCTCAGCTTTTTGGTGATTTCAGTAAAACTTCCCTCTACTCAACTGGGGATTACAAGCTAGAAACAAAATTATTTTTGCTGATGAAAGTAGACAGTCTATTCTTTCAGAATCTGGTTTCGGATTTCAGATAGTCATAGTACACAATATTCTGTGGGTCTTGAAATATCTATAAAAATCATCAAACTGCTGGAAATATGGGAGTACCTGTTCTGAAATAGGCTGGCAGGCAATGAGTTAATAAACATTGAACCAGTCCGGCCCTCGGCTCGCAGCAAATTTGTTTTTTTGGCCCTCTGATGTATTTGACTTTGACATGCCTGATTTATAACATACACCTTATGCTCTGTATGTTTGCATGAAAACTCTTTATGAAAACTTTTATGTTTGAAAAGACACACAATATTGTAGTAGCTTGATTGCAATTTGTCATAACAGACTCTGCAACTGTATTTTAAGATATAAGTGACTTAAAACTATAATAGTTCACCATGAGCCATTTCACTCTGAAAGCAGAAATACAGCCAACTGTTTACTTGTGTCTTTGTGATCAATGACCTTCACATAGACATAAAGTTGAAGTAATGAGGTCATGGTAACTTCCGTTTTTAATCTTTAGTTCTGACTGTGCACACATCTTTCGATGTGACGTGACATAAAATTGTACTATATAATACATAGTCTGAAGAAACTCTGTCAGTGCAAACTACGACAAACTCTGATGGCCCTGCGCAGCCATGTGTGCTTCTGAACCCGCCTCAAGTCTGTCATTCTTCGACATCTTAATTAAACATGTAGATTTGAATTTAACTACTAACCCTTTTTTTTTAAACAAGATTTTTCTGTGTGGAATATGTTTCCTTAACATTTTTAATTCAATCTTACGTTTAATTTCTTAGAGTACAGAGAGTTATTAGTCAAATCTCAGCCCTCATTGAACCAATAGTCGGAGCCTCAGGTGGACAGAGCCTCCTGTTATCAGTCAACCACATAACCTTGACGTGCAGCTTATGTTCATGATCAATAATGTACTTTGGTCACTTAATGTTTGCCTGTACCTTACTTCACTGGGTCACGGCCGCTAGTTTGAGTGAGTTATGTATTTGTGACCAGACTTACATTCCAAAAAGTCTCGCCACTGTCGTCCCAAAGCGGTCAAAGAGGAAACCATTGGGAAGAGTCATAAAGTTGTTCATAAAAGATGCAATCGTGAAGACCAGAGAAAACTGCTCATCCTGTCCATGGCAGTCTGCAATTAAACAGATACATATAAGGAGATTAAAAGACGATAAGAACTTAGTGCAAATGAACATAAATACAAGGCATTAGACAAGTGCAACTGATCATCCCATTGCCTGTATCCATTTAGATATTTCTGCTTTGTCTATAATCTTAAAATAGCATTAGATTTAGCTGTGCTTTGTTTTAAAATATTGTATATTTGTATTAATGTTTTGAAAAATTGGTGAATCTTTTATAAACAAATGCATCCTGGTAGCTCAACCTGCTCTTTCTCCACAGTAGACATGGATGTTTAATGCAACACTGAGCAACATTACAGGCAAAACTAAAACTTAATGAAGACAACCAGGAGGAGAACGCTCCACCATTCATCCTTACTCAAGACCACAAAACCTATTACGTCTCATTTCTAGACATCTGTGGTCAGAAAGGTTGTGTTTAACCAACTGACCTAATGTGTGCGTGCCATTGATTCCTGTGGAGTTGACACACAAAGAACTGAAATATCCTTCACTTTTCAGGACAAACACCAGGGACGCCCATCCAAACACTGCTCCAGCAAAACACAGGCACTCCACGAGTCCAGTCGCAAACGTGAGCCATCTGCGGACGCCCGAACATCTCCTTACACATACCATTGTTGCGACGTATGATCAACCTGCAAGGCATCCATAATGTTATTATTATGAGATTTACACTACATGTTTTAACAATATGTCAAAAGTATAATTATAAAGGTAAACACAGATCAATGTAGCGCTGTTTCTACAAAGCTGTTCACATCATGCAGCAATCAAGAGCAGGCAAACACGCCACGTGTTATACATACATTAGAAATACTGATGTATCCTTCAGTAAAGAAAACTAGGTGGACTGCTCCCAATGAAAACAGAGGCAAGTGTATTAGTTAAAGCCAATGCAATACATATTTAAACACACATGTACCCCTTTTACCAGTATATTTTCCAGGTCCCAGTGTAATTTGCAATATATCAGAAGGAGGAAAGAGCAAGGTATGAAAAGCAAACGAACAAAGTTTTGGAAGCAGTTTCGAGTGCAAAAAAGAAACACAGAATACAACATAAGTATGTGTACTCACAGTTCCTGCTCTGTGGATGTCCTTAGAGCACCACGACTGTCTCTCTTTTGCCTCTCTCTCTATATAAGGTGGAGCCCTGTGCCCTCAGCTGCTCCCTCCCTCTGTTTCCTCTGCTCTGTTTTCAATCATTATGTGTGCAAACTCTAAGTGGAACCAAATCAGCAAAGCCAGAACCAGACAGTTCATGAACACAACAGTAGACTTTGTGTTAATGACAAGACCAACCATCTAATTTTACACTGTAAGTAGCTGTACAGCATAGAGACTGACTATCCAAAGACATCAGCTGAACCAATGAATTGTAAGCCAGTCGTTTTCTAGACCTTCAGAAATAGTGAAACTACAAAATGAAAATGTAATAACTGTAGTATTTCCTGCAGTTGACCCATCCTTCAATGTCCAAGAGGAGACTTGTCAGGAGCAGCATTTAGCCACAGTGTATTGAGTCACTCCAAACAGAGTAATCCTGTAGCCATAGCTGCCCTATGTCAGCCTGACAGAGGTGGCCTATATCTCCCACCGGTCCCTTCACACACTCGTGCACCCTTCATTATTACAGGGCAACATGGCTGAAGTGTCTTGCTTAAGGACACAATAACAGTTACCACTTTAGAGTCCCAACACATCCGCTGTGTCATCAGGTAATTGCTGTCTCCCTTCACAGATCCTGACAAGCTGCATTATCCTCATATACTAACTTCTACTTTACATTTAATGCAGTCACCAATATGACTTCAGATTCAGATTCATTTATTTGCCATTTGCAGTAAAACCACATAGGAACAACTGTGCAAGACTACCCCAGTGTGCACCAGACGACACACACCAGAGCTCTTGCCACGGCGCCATCTAACTTTCCATTCATTGATTATTTTGCTCTTTGTGGCTAAATAACGGAAATACTGCAACACAAGATCAGATGACCACTCGTAAGAGTGGCACGCATCTACTACTTCCTAAAAAAAATATCTCACATCACTATTGAAAAAAAAGCTGATTTTACAATACAGTAGTAAAAAGTCAAAACAAACACAATAGTTCATTATTATCATTCATCCATCCATCCATCCATTTTCTTCCGCTTTATCCGTTGCCGGGTCGCGGGGGCAGCAGTCTAAGCAGAGACGCCCAGACTTCCCTATCCACACACACCTCCTCAAGCTCGTCCGGGGGGACCCCTAGGCGTACCCAGGCCAGCTGAGAGACATAGTCTCTCCAGCGTGTCCTGGGTCTTCCCCGGGGCCTCCTCCCGGTGGGACGTGCCCGGAACACCTCCCCAGGAAGGCGTCCAGGAGGCATCCTGAACAGATGCCCGAGCCACCTCAACTGGTTCCTCTCGACGTGGAGAAGCAGCGGCTCTACTCCGAGCTCCTCCCGTGTGACCGAGCTCCTCACCCTATCTCTAAGGGAGCGCCCAGCCACTCTGCGGAGGAAGCTCATTTCGACCGCTTGTATCCGCGATCTCGTTCTTTCGGTCATTACCCACAGCTCATGACCATAGGTGAGGGAGGGAACGAAGATTGACCGGTAAATTGAGAGCTTTGCCTTTCGGCTCAGCTCCCTCTTTACCACAACGGTCCGATACAGAGACCGCATCACTGCGCACGCTGCACCGATCCGCCTGTAAGTAAGTAAGTAAGTAGTAAGTAAGTAAAGTTTATTTATAAAGCGCTTTTCACAGATAAAAATCACAAAGTGCTGTACAGGACAGTGGGCAAATACAAAACAATATAAAATACACTTACACACATTACACATTTTATGTACTTAAAAGTGACATCAGTGAGAACCCAATCAACTAAAAGCTTTCTTAAATAAATAAGTCTTCAAGCCTTTTTTGAAAGAGTCCGCAGAGTCGACCAGACGTAGGGACAGGGGCAGGGCGTTCCACAGTCTGGGGGCAACAGACTGAAAAGACCGGTCCCCTCGAGTCTTATAATGGGTTTTGGGGACCACAAGCAGGTTCTGGCCAGAGGACCGGAGAGAACGGCCAGAGGAGTACAGGCTCAAAAGGTTCAGGATGTACTGGGGGGCCTGTCAATCTCACGCTCCATCCTCCCCTCACTCGTGAACAAGACCCCGAGATACTTGAACTCCTCCACTTGAGGAAGGACCTCTCCACCCACCTGGAGAGGGCAAGGCACCTTTTTCCGGTCGAGCACCATGGCCTCGGATTTGGAGGTGCTGATTCTCATCCCAGCCGCTTCACACTCGGCTGCAAACCGTCCCAGTGCATGTTGCAGGTCCTGGTTCGTTGGAGCCAGCAGGACGACATCATCCGCAAAAAGTAGAGATGAAATCCTGTGGCTCCCGAACCGGACCCCCTCCGGCCCCTGGCTGCGCCTAGAGATTCTGTCCATAAATACAGTGAACACAACCGGTGACAAAGGGCAGCCTTGGCGGAGGCCAACATGCACCGGGAACAGGTCTGACTTACTGCCGGCAATGCGAACACAGCTCTGGCTCCGGTCATACAGGGACCGAACAGCCCTCAGCAGAGGACCCCGGACCCCGTACTCCCGGAGGACCCCCCAAAGGACACCCCGGGGAACACGGTCGAACGCCTTCTCCAAATCCACAAAGCACATGTGGACAGGTTGGGCGAACTCCCATGAACCCTCGAGTATCCGATGGAGAGTATAGAGCTGGTCCAGTGTTCCGCGACCGGGACGAAAACCACACTGCTCCTCCTGAATCCGAGATTCGACCATCGGACGTAGCCTGCTCTCCAGTACCTTGGAGTAGACCTTACCGGGGAGGCTGAGGAGTGTGATCCCACGATAATTGGAACACACCCTCCGGTCCCCCTTCTTGTAGAGAGGGACCACCACCCCGGTCTGCCACTCCATTGGCACCGCCCCCGATCGCCACGCGATGTTGCAGAGACGTGTCAGCCAAGACAGTCCTACAACATCCAGAGACTTTAGATAGTCAGGACGGATCTCATCCACTCCCGGCGCCTTGCCACCATGGAGGCTGCCAACCACCTTGGTGACCTCGGCCAGGGAGATGGAAGTATCCGCCCCAACATCCTCAGCCTCTGCCTCCTGGACGGAGGACGTGACGGGGGGATTGAGGAGAACCTCGAAGTATTCCTTCCACCGCCCGACAATATCCCCAGTCGAGGTCAGCAGCCCTCCACCCGCACCATACACGGTGTTGGCAAAGAACTGCTTCCCCCTCCTGAGGCGCCGGACGGTTTGCCAGAACCTCTTCGAGGCCGACCGATAGTCATGCTCCATGGACTCTCCGAACTCCTCCCAGTCCCGGGTTTTTGCCTCTGCAACTGCCCGGGCCGCGGCACGCTTGGCCTGCCGGTACTGGACAGCTGCCTCAGGAGTCCCACGAACCATCATTGCTCGATAGGACTCCTTCTTCAGCCTGACGGCATCCCTTACTGCCGGTGTCCACCACCGGGTTCGGGGATTGCCGCCGGGACCAGCACCAGAGACCTTGCGACCACAGCTATGAGCCGCCGCATTGGCGATAGAGGAAGAGAACATGGTCCACTCGGACTCGATGTCCCCCTCCTCTGCCGGGACCTGGGAGAAGCTCTCCCGGAGGTGTGAGTTGAAAGTCCGTCTGACAGGGGGCTCACCAAGACGTTCCCAGCAAACCCTCACTACACGCTTGGGCCTGCCAGGTCTGACCGGCCTCCTCCCTGCCAGCGGATCCAACTCACGACCAGGTGATGATCGGTTGACAGCTCCGCCCCTCTCTTCACCCGAGTGTCCGAGACACGCGGTCGAAGGTCAGATGATACGACTACAAAGTCGATCATCGACCTCCGGCCTAGGGTGTCCTGGTGCCACGTGCACTGATGGACACCCTTGTGCTCGAACATGGTGTTCGTGATGGACAGGCCGTGACTGGCACAGAAGTCCAACAACTGAACACCGCTCGGGTTCAGATCAGGGGGGCCGCTCTTCCCGATCACCCCTCTCCAAGTGTCACTGGCATTTCCCACATGGGCGTTGAAGTCCCCCAGGAGAATAACGGAGTCCCCGGGCGGTGCACTGTCCAGTACCCCTCCCAAGGACTCCAAGAAGGCCAGGTACTCTGCACTACCGTTAGGCCCGTAGGCCGTCACAACAGTGAGAGACTTGTCCCCCACCCGGAGACGGAGGGACGCGACCCTCTCATTCACCGGGGAGAACTCCAACACGTGGCGGCTGAGATGGGGGGCAATGAGTATGGCCACCCCAGCTCGCCGCCTCTCCCCGCGGGAAACACCAGAAAAGTGGAGCGTCCAACCCCTCTCAAGGAGTTGGGTTCCAGAGCCCAAGCTGTGTGTGGAGGTGAGGCCGACTATCTCTAGTCGGTATCGCTCAACCTCCCCCACAAGCTCGGGCTCCTTCCCCCCCAGTGAGGTGACGTTCCACGTCCCAAGAGCCAGATGTTGGGTGTGTGGACTGGGTCGTCGAGGTCTCCGCCTTCGACTGCTGCCCAGTCCTCTCTGCACCTCGCCACCACGGACCCCTCTGCAGGTGGTGAGCCCACAGGAGGGACTGCCCACGTCATCCCTTCGGGCTGAGCCCGGCCGGGCCCCGTGGGCTAAGGCCCGGCCACCAGGCGCTCGCTTGCGAGCCCCGACCCCAGGCCTGGCTCCAGGGTGGGGCCCCGGCTGCGCCATGCCGGGCGACGTCACGGTTTTCGTTGTCGTGCTGTCCATATCATCAGATTAACTTGAATTTAAATAACCTGTTTTTTCACCCTTTATAATAAAATTCATACATTAAAATTGAACGGGTTTCTGAGCCCTTTGGAGCTCCGTTTGTGATGCTCACACCCATAGTCACTGGGAGAGGGACAATGATGTAGCAGTATATTGTTGTGTAATGTAATCAAGCATAATTTCCACCGACATGCATCAGTTCTTTGTGTAATACATTTATTTATTGATTATTAGGGCAGAACCAAAAAACTTAAATTACATATTCATGTTACAACACAAGTTAACATAACATATTTCAAAGAATAAACACTTAAGTTCAACAACATAATTCAGTTTGATATCCGTCCAGAATAGACTGTGAAAGTTTTTTGGGTATTGATTCTCATTCAATTAAATGGGGGAGATAGTATGAAGAGTGCATATTGAATACTGTCCCTTTAAATGCTGGCTGTCACCATATGCATGATTGGATTTTTGTATTTTGGATTTTATTGCCTAAGTATAAGTACATTTGCAGTCCCATACAAAGACACATATCGTATTGTATTCTGTCACACTCTGACATAAACATTTGTAAATCCAGCACCGATAAACAGTCGGTCCACTCACACTAGAATCTATTCCTCTCTTTACCTCCTTTTATATGTACTTCCAAGGACAGAAAAAGAGTGAAGGGAATAGTGAAATGTAAATATGAAATTCCTTGATATTTAAAGTATTGAGTGACTGTTTTATAGTGTCAGCAAATCGCTCTTAAGGATGTCCCATATGTTTTTGAGTTAGTCACAAGAGACAGAAAACACGGGACTCTTCTTCCATTAGGCTCCACTTCTTCTTTCCAAAATAGATTTAAGTGAAAGGTAAAATAGGGGGGTGATGACATGTGACTTTCAGCTTATGATTTTTCTATGATGAAAATCACAAAAATAGAGTGAACTGTATTGAACTCTGTGAATATGTTTTATGAAGCTTGTGTTCCTCAGAAGGCCACAATGTAAGACTAGGAATTTTCTATGTTATATGGTGCAAACGGGTTATAACAAAGTTTAAAATATAGATTTACAACACATATAAAAATGTGTGATTAAATGTAAGTAACGCTGAAATACCTGGTTTAGACCTGGTTTGGATCATTTCATTGGACTTAGCATAAAAAGTATCAAAACCACTGTTGGTCCTCTAATTATACTTTGTTTGTATTTACATTTTAGAATAGATGTGTATGTACAGTGGGGGAAAAAAGTATCCCCCACTGTCAACCAGCAGTTGTGCAAGTTCTCCCTCCTAAAAAGATGATAGAGGCCTGCAATGTTCATCATACTATTCCAGAAAATCACATTGTCTGATTTTTTAAGAATTTATTTGTAAATTATGGTGTAAAATAAGTAGTAAGGACACCAGAAACAAAATTGAAGACCGGCACCAGGCGGGGAAATCCATTGTGGGAGCAATTAGTAAGAAAATGGAAGACATACAAGACCACTGATAATCTCACTTAATCTGGAGCTCCATGCAAGATCTCACCCTGTGGGGTCAAAATGGTCAAGAGCTGGGACCAAAGAAACAATTGTGTTACTTTGGTCCCAATTTTGTTACTTTGGTTGGGAGAACTTACACAATGGGTGGCTGACTAAATACTTTTTTGCCTACTGTATATATAGTGGTTGGCTAAACCTGTCAACGCTCATGTACAAATATTTTTTATCCAGTAGTTTTCTTGGTTTTTTTCCCTTTATTTTAATCCTGCTTTCCCTCAAGCAGACTGTAGGAATAGAAAATGCCATAACCTTAATTATTATTCAAATAAGCACAAGTTTTCTACACCCAGTAATTTGCTCTACTCACACAGCCCTATACTTAAGACACATACTGTATATGTAATTGGAACAAAGTGCAATGGTTTAATTGATGGATGTAAATAGGAGAAATACTGGATAAACATGACATCATTTGGATAGAAAACCTTTAGCCCCACACTAATCTAAGATACATTTAATGATGCCATTTGTTGTCTGCATAAACTCCTCCATGTGAACGTGTGTATCTTCGGTTTCCACAGCAGAGGCAGCTGTCCAGCTCGCTGCTCTATTTTACACTCATTCTATTTCAGGAGCCACTGTTGTAAGAAAAGGTCAGATAAAGAAGCCGAGCCGTGGACAGTGGAGACAAACTGGAGATTCAACTTGTGCTGAGGACACCAGGTCTGAAGGCTGCGCAGTGAAGCGAAACAAGACTGAACTGTCCAACACTCTCGACTGCATATAGTACAGCATTATGGATGAGGAACAACATCGAGCCGAGAGTCCGGAGGAGAAAACACAGTGTGACGAGACTGACAAGGACCAGGTGGGTTATTTTATACATACCTTCAGCCTGCTGTGTTTGTTTACTGCTTCAGGACAATAAGATTAAGATCCTTTATTAGTCCCACAGTTGGGAGGTTTCAGTGTTGCATCACAAGTTATTGAACAGTCTGAGGAGCACACAACACAAGATACATAAATGATAACACAAATACAAAATAAATAAAAAGAAGCCGTAGAAAATCTCTATCTTTTGCATAATAAGGAAAGAAGTCTTAAAATCTCCAACTTTAGCAGGATGAAGAAGCGAGTACAAAAACCCTTGACTTTACCAATATAATCAATACACCTCATTTTGTTTGTGGGGACCGAGCTCTGAGATTGATGGCTGAACATCTGCTGCATTTTAAACACCAACAATGTTTTTATTATGTTGCTATAAAATAAACATAAACTTCTTAACATATTTTATATTTTAAGTTGGGCAGCAAGGTTGTGTGGTAGATAGCGCTTATGCTTCAAAAGAGGGTCCTGAGGTCTGATTCCACCTCTAGACGGGGCGTTTGTGTGGAGTTTGCATGTTCTTCCTGTGTCTGTGTAGGTTTCCCCCGGGTGCTCCGGTTTCCTTCCGGGTGCTGCGGTTTCCCCTCTTACTATAAACATGTACAATAGTTCAGGGTGAATGAGTGCAACTGTAGAATGATGGATGCAGGGCTGTAATAAGTACATTTATTAATCACAACTAATCAATTACTGAAATATTAATTTATTAATCTATTGTTTTTTTAATCGTACACAGACTTGAACATACTGAGAGGAGGTTTAATGACTCAGATATGTCTATGGTGTATGGAAGCCCGTTTCCGCCACGAAAAAAAAAAAATCGAAATTATGAGTTTTAAAGTTGTAATTATGAGTTTAAAACTCGAAATTTCGTGTTTCAAACTCGAAATTATGACTTTAAAAGTCAAGATTATGACTTTAAAAGTCAAGATTATGACTTTAAAACTCGAAATTACGAGTTTTAAACTGCGCATGTGCAGTTGCTGCCCCGTATGTATTGTTGTCTGGAACGGTGTCTGGACATCCTTTACCTGCAGGTTATGTTGAAGATATTGCCTACAGTGACCACTGCATCCATGAAGTGGCAGCAATAATGTTGTGGCAGTAATCGCGTTAAAATGCAAACGTCTCTCTGTTTATGATTAGAATCTGCTCAAGGAGCCTCTATTTAATTTATCCTGAACGGACTGTGGAAGCTTAATAAAAAAACACATGCGGCTGAACGCTGAAGTGGTCTCATTCATTGAGCATCAACTGGTGGCTATCAATGGATGCACCAGAAATGCAGTGAATATTATTGTGACTGACAGAGAGACCGTTCGCGATTACAGGACAGTTCAAAACTCGAAATTTCATAATTACAACTTTAAAACTCAAAATTTCGAGTTTAAAACTCAAAATTATGAGTTTCTGTGAGCTTTTTTTTTTACATGGCGGAAACGGGCTTCCATAATGGTGACTGCTGAATGAAATAAAAATGTGTTTACAAGAATTTTTTAACCGAACAGCCCAATTTGTATCTTTATGTTCTCCTGGGAAAACATCATTTGAGCTTTGTTTTGGTCAAAATAATCAGGCCTAATATTTGTAAACATTCACTGTCTCATACAAACAAACAATACATCAATGAATTAAGTAGGAAGAAGGCGGAAAAAGGACTGAATGGGCACATGTGGTGTGAATGAATAATGTTTCATTCACACCACATGTACTAAAGTTTTGTGTAGTACTGGTAGTACTACACAAAACTACTACCATGGATCTTTAACCTACATATTTCAACTGTTTTTGACTCAGCACATGGCTTAGTTTTAAGATGCAAAGCAATTAAAACATCCTAACAATAATTTTGTATATTTTAAGAGTGATCAACAGTGAAGCAAAGTGTGCAAAAGCTTTATGCAAAATGATTTAGAGTTACAGCTGTTAGGTTTAGGAGACATGAAAGGAATAAAGTGCTCAGCAACGTTGCACCTGCTGGCGAAATGCTTTCAAAGAGAGCTGTCTCAAGCTCAATGATGAATACAGATAGTATAAAAAAGACAGCATGCAAAAGAGAAACTATTGATGAGAGGAATATTGGAAAAGATACAATATCACATTATTGTGTATGATATTTTAGTATAACATTTGAAGCTAATGAAAAAACAATGTCACAAATGTAGCTGCAACTGATAAAAATAAACCAGGACATAGTGTAAACAGACAATCAGTGCCAAACATCATAGCAGTTGTGCTTTTCTCGTGAGACCAAAGGCTAATTATAAATGTACAAATATACAACATAATTTGGGCTACTGTGTTAATACACATCTTGTAATATGTTATTGAATCCATTCTTTATTTCAAAACAAGAGAAAATGAAATCCTAAGCCAAAAACATATACAGTATTTAGTTTAAGAGAATGAAGCAATTCTAGTCTAATCAGTTACAGTGATATATTAGGAGAAAGCAGGGAATATTCCCCTAAAGATCCAATGTACCAGGGATGAAACAACTTAAGCAAATGTGAATGACCAAGAACAGAGAGTCTTGGGAATGATCTCTGATTGGATTGTGTTTTAAATTTAACAGGCAGACTATTGGGATGTTTGGGCATCTCTGCTTAGATTACATCCCTCTTGACCCGGCAACAGATAAAGTGGAAGAAAATGGATAGAACTATTCATTTTATTGACATTTATTAGTTTATGCAAAATTGCATTAAAATTAAATAATAAATGCTATAAACAGGGGATGGTCATGGATAAAAGGACAAAGTGGCTCAAATGAATGGCTTGTGCTCAAAACACCAGTTCTGAAAGAAAACTGAACAGAAGACTGGACAGTAGCCATCCAAACATTACAACTATTTTCTAAGTTTGGTTTTGTCTTTAGATTACAGATGCCGCACTTGAGGAAAAGGCGCTCCCCAAAACAGGAGAAGAAGGAACCAACAAAGAACAGGAATTAGAAGCAAAGACAGATGGGGACGACAAAGGTGGAGAAACAGAAGAAACAAAAAGTGCAGATGAAAAAGAACAAAGTGAAACTGCATCGGAGGCTCAAGAGAATAGACAAGATAATACAAGGACTGAAGATGAGAGTAAGACTGAGCAAACACAAGAATGCACAAAGAAAGAGGAAAACACACCAACTCATGACGACAGAGGGAAAAACGTTGGTTCAAAAGAAACAGAGACTAAAACTCCTAAAGGCAAAGACTCTGATGTAAAACAAGATATAAATAAAAAGGGGAAAACAGAAGGGTCAGAAAAACCAAAGAAAAAGTCTGGACCGTCTGCGTCTGCTCTGGCTGCTCTGAGTCGACCCCGGAATTCTGCACGCTCCGGCCGCGCCTCCAACAAGAAGGACCTCATCGCCAAGTTCCAGCAGGGAGCGCCAGAGTGGGTGCACACCTGAGCAAAGTGACACATAAGAACCAAAGCTGGGGTACCTGTTTTTCAGACCACAAAAAATAATAACTATGTATATACAGAAAGTTGTTCAGCCCTAAGAATAAAATAGTGACTCACAGGACTCTTTCTTATGCAAGATTGATTGGAACATTTTACACAAAAGACTCAATATGTATAATTTATGTATAGACAGGTACCCCAGCTTTAAGTTAATGTAAAAGATTTTGGTATTGTAACAAATATGTGTGAAAAAAGGTTCTATAGAAACATTGGGTCTTTGAAATCAGGAATACAATCCGAAAATGTTGATATATCTTTGACATATGTTTTTTGGCATCCTTTTCAGCTTTCTTTGATAATCATAGTTTAGGTCAGGCTGCTGTGATCAGAATTTGCCTCAATTATAACTGTCATTATACTGTCTTACAACATGACATGAACTTGCTATTCAATGTGTATTTTTAGAACACCAGTCCCACGCAACTTCAAGCTCCAGAGGTCTGCCACAGCCGGAAGCACTGGGGCCACAATCAAACAGAAAATTCTCCAGTGGTGCATCAGTAAAACTCGTAACTATGAGGCAAGACTCAATCCTGAAACCAAGCCTGTCACAACAGCACATTTGAATTTACGTTATATTGATTCTGATAAAGATTACAATATTCCACAGACTTATTTTTGCTGATGCTAGTACAATAAAACAGGATTAACCTGATAAAGCTTTTTTTCTTCATTTATCCGTGTGATAAATATGCATGGGTTATGAAAATAAACAGCAGATGTACAGTAATAGTTTGATATCATATTGAACACTCTATAACATTGTTCTACATATATACATAAATTGTGCAGCAGTTAGATTCCACCAAAAGGAAAAACTGGTCGATCATCAGTTATTGATCAATAAACCAATAGTAATTATCGTGAGAGGCTGAATTGCACTTACAGTTTGTGTCTGGTTCAAACTTCACATTCTTGTGTCTTACTCTTCAGGGGGTGAAGGTGGAGAACTTTTCCTCGTCCTGGTGTGACGGCATGGCGTTTTGTGCACTGATCCATCGTTTCTTCCCTGATGCTTTTGACTTCAGCTCCCTGAATCCCAAAGAGAGGGAGAGGAACTTCACACTGGCCTTCCAGACCGCAGAGTAATTCATGTCTTTAAGGATTTAATAGGTTTCATTCAATGACAGGATCATCTCAGATGGAAAGGAGGGGCTTACAAACTCTGTAGGTGTTTACGACTGAATACAGTGGCTCATCAAACCTGTTGTACATAAAGAACAAACTTTTGGTTTCTTAAAGGCACACCATGTAACTCTTGGCCACTAGGGGCGCTAGACCTGCAACTTTCACGTTTAGCGCCCCTAGTGGCCACAAGCAACTCAGCACTGTCGCAAAAGTCAACAGTCAGCCGGTGTCTTTTGAGTGTGTATTCAGACAGCATGCACTGGTGTGTGTGTTCAAACTGTAGAGACATGCCTACAGATATTGAGAGACTCTGCTGTGGTCAGCCTCCAGACCGCTGCATTAGTAATCTACCACACATGGACTTCTATATCCTGGATGAGGGAGTTCTGCGTCTAGCTCGTGCTGCGTGGAATGACATCTTTGCAGTCGATGACATCCAGGAACCAGGTGAAGAGCAGCGCTCATACAGACATGCAGCTTACAGCACGATCCCTTTCGCGTTTCCTCTTTTTAGCCTCCTCCGAAGGTTTAAAATTTTTCCTTGCCTCAGCCATGACCAGGAGTCGAGCAGGTGAAAAATGAGTAGCAAAAGCCTTAGCTCCATGAGTATATCAGCGCCTGTAGCCGTAAAGCAAGTCTTTCTTCCAAGTCACGTGACCTGGTGGCAGACGGTCCGTCTGCTCGAAACTTACATGGGCGGTATTTCAAGAGGGCAGCCCCGCTCGGAGCATTGCAAGTGTCAAGCGCTGTATATTGGCCCAAGTATTCATATAAAATAACTCATATGTGTCAACTCTTTAGGTCACAAAGTCCGCGGTGTGCCTTTAATACTTAATTGGAAAATATGATTTGTGAAGAATACTTTTGAATAGGTAAAGAACAAAATCTATGATGAACTCTTAACAAAAGTTTTAAAGAGTGGAGGAAACAATGAATCAATAATGCTATATAAAGGCCTTTTTTTAGATCATTTGCTTGTAATTATGAGAAATTCATTGAGGAAAAACATGTATTCAACTCCTCCCTAAATTCACAATGTCACGGCTCATATTCTGTATAGTCGATTATTGGTACAACATTTGGTTAAACTTTTGGTTTATCACTAATATATGTTGACAGAAGGCCGTAAAAAAAAACAAAAAAAAATGCCATTTATGTTAAATACTCGACCCAGTAATTACTTATTAATTACAATAATCATAAGACATCCTTCACACTTTCAGTCCACACAGCTGGCAGTATATAATTATTAACGGCTCCAGCTTCAACCCTAAGAGATTATGAATATATGAAATCAGGCCAGTTGCTGATGATTTATTTCTGAACTCTAAATATTATTGGTGTTAATTAGTCGATATGGTCCTCATTTGTATCACCCTGAAAGATAAAGCTGTTGTATCATTAATAATACATTGTGAATGTATGAGTGTAACATCAGATTTTCCAAAACAATTATTTACGTTAAAGGTCAACAGTGTGACTTCTTTGTAAATTGCTAACATTCCCCCATTACGGTTCATAATTGTTTTGTTTTTTTGTTATGATATTGATGTGGCTATAAACATGGATCTGCTCTCTCTCCATCTCAGGACTCTGGCTGACTGCTGCCCTCTTCTGGAGGTGTCGGATATGCTGCTGATGGGGAACCACCCTGACCCCATGTGCGTCTTCACCTATGTCCAGTCTCTCTGCCACAGCTTGTCAAAGATAGAAAAACAGAGGAAGGATTCTGCAGAAAAGGAAAATGCTGCTAACAAGGAAGAAGAGGGGGCACAGAAGGAAACCCAGGAAATCTCAGGGGAGACAGAAGGAACCAAAGCTATGTCTGAAAGTCACGAGACAACCAGGGAGGAGGAGGATGTGGTGAAAACTGATGAGACTGACACCCAGGCAGTGGTGGAAGAGGAATCCTAAAGGAGTTGATTGACTTTCAATACAAAGACGGTCTTATGCCAGCCTAATGGCCTCAATATAAAGCACTATATGATCTGTGTTTGGGTCTATTCGACATTGTGTGCGTTTTGCACATAACTGCTGTTTGTACTGTGTCCATTTGATTATTGAATTCGTGTATATGCATATTTCTGTCTGGCATGTTAAATTATCCAGCCGGGGGGATGTTTTCTAACTTTGAAGAGGAATTCCAGCTCCCAGACCCAGTGTTTTACGGTAATTACGTCATGCCTCCGGAAGGGCCCCTTTGTGTCTGTAGAGCATAGGCTTCAGAGGGAACCTTGCAGAAGCACGGTTAAACATTGAATAAAAGATGTCTGTGAATCTGGAGTCGCAGCTTTTGTCCGTGATGAACGTGTTGGTGAAGGCCGCAGTCTCGGAGATCGGTCAGTTGTTCAGTGAAAGCTGCGCAGAGCTGCGCCTGCACTTAACCCAGAGTCTGCGGGAGAACGACGGTCTGCGGACCAGGATGAGACTCATGAGGAGCGAGATGTTCTCCCTGAAGCTACAGAACCGCGCAGCAAGACCCTCCAGCCGCTGTGGACCCGTGCGAGTAAACACTCCCAAACCACGATCCAAAGTACAGCCAAAGCCAGGTAAACACGGCGATCAGCGGCGCGTCACGTGTCCCAGTGTCCTGCGCACACAGCTCTGATGGCTCTGGCTCATGGTGTCTAAGATAAGACATCCTTTATTATTCAACTGCTGTGGTTTAAAACAGCACTAATGACTTCTACAATTACACAGTTTCTGCGATTAATTTAGACATGAATTAGAATGTACCCATTATATGAGTTGTTATTATGGGATTATAAAAGTAAATCATAATTTTACAATCTTGTTTCTCCCCTTTACACAAGCTGACTCTACCCCTGCAGTTTCACAAGACCAAAGCATCCCTGTCAGTGAAAAGGTAACAGGTTAACACAATAGTAACTCAATGTTTAACAGTGTTGTTGTGAGATGTGTATTTTGTATTTTCTAATTATAATTGAGTCCTCACAATGTCACAGACTATATGACTAGAACCTGCACCCTTGATTATACCTTTTGATATTGACTGTTGCATGAAAAACATGTTTGAATAGTGCAGTGTAGAGTGCTTTAATATGTACCTAAAACGTTAAGAACAACAAAATCATTTATTTTTGGACTTTCAGAGATAAGTTGATCGACTGGGTGAAGCACAATATTATGTTTTATTTTACCTCAAAACCTCAAATGGTTTCCGGATTCCTGCGATAAAATATAAATGTATATTTTTTATAGAAAAGAACACAAAACAGAACATTTTCCCTGGGTTTTGGATGTGAACTGTAACTTCTCCAGTTGTTTAAGGACAATAATGGTTTTGGCCTCTATTGGAGTGAGCCTCATAGTTGATTACTGTAGTATCATTTGTTTGTGACTTTGGAAATGGTTTGCATATTACTGGCCGTGCTAACCAGCAGAGCAAGGTTTTTAGATTGTGATCTACATCAGAAATAGAACGTGACAGTGAAAGGGGCTGAAGTTACTCTCACTTATTTTGATGAGAAAATGTACCTAATAGATTACATGGCATTATAGATTCAAACATTCTATACCATAATAATGTCAACTAATGTGCATTTTTATAGAGCGCTATTGATGAGTGTCCTGACATCATTTTGATCAAAGATGAAGATGACGAAATGACAGCTTCTGGTGCGTGAGTTTTTTATTATATTATTTGTTTTTTTTTTAAATCCTTCATCCTTATGTTTTTCTGTATTTTCAGGACATAGTTTCCACAATGACAAGCCTGGCAACACAAAGGGGGAGGAGCAAAAGGCTGCCAACAGTCAAGCACAGGAGGCGTTCATCACCCAGAGCGACTTTTATAACACATCTGATCCTTTGGCCTTTTCTATACCAGGCATGCCCACTGCGTCACACAACCTACCTCCTAATGACCATATGAATGTGCAGAATGACTTTTTCGCCATGTCATCTACAAACCAAATGGAAGGTTCACCCATTATTCAAAATGTAGTTTCGCTGAACCAGATCATGGTTCCAAGTGGCAGCGAATGCAGCTCCAATAACCTGGTTCCAAAGCAAAAGTCAGATTCTAAAATATTTTCCTGCAATCTCTGCCAGGTTAGCTTCCACACCCGCAACGAGCTGAACACGCATCGGGCCAGTCATGTCGGGGGCTCTCCCATCACGTGTACCATGTGTGATAAAGTATTTGTGAGTAAGAACACTTTAGGGATCCACATGCGCATACACACCGGAGAAAAGCCCTATGTCTGTCTGCTTTGTGGGAAAAGCTTCACTCAAAATGGTGGTCTCAGGATCCATCTAAGAACACATTCAGGAGAGAAGCCTTACAGCTGTTCAGTGTGCCACACCAGCTTCAACAACCCCAGCAACCTGCGGCGGCACAAGATCACCCACAAGACTGTTCGGTATCCAAATGTTTCCCTGTGAGGCCTGTCAAGAGTTTGCTGTTAAACTATCCATTGTATTTGTTCACATGGATATTCAGTGTGTCTCCTATACAAAGTAATTCCACATGAAACTAACATTTACGTGGCTAATTTTTCAGAGGTTTTGGATTTTACGTGTTTTGTTTTTAAAAGCAAATATCCATGGATCTATAATAATAACATATATCATAATGTCCCCAGCCAAATGACCTCAAACGCCAGCAAATGAAGCCTTTTATATAAAGTTGTTATTTTGTTTATTTGTAAAATTGTGTTCTCTCTTATGTGTTTTAGTTTCTTGGAATAAAACCACTCCTGGCATTGTTTTTTTGAGTTAATAATTCAATAATAATTATAATTGTATAATACCAGTTGAGTCACATTCAAGATTATCTAGGTTTAAGCTTTTAGGGATCTGACTTTTCTATACCAATAACATTGCTTACAAAGTGTTGTGTTAGTTACTGTAATATAATCAATATGTTCAAAGCACTACATTAGTTGGGGCGTTTCAGGAGAAATGTCTTTGTGTGCCCGCAGAGGGCAGCATTGTATTTTTTGAGATACTTTTGGAAGAAATTGCACTTTCTTCAACTAATGTATATAGCCTGTAATATTGGCCCTCGGGTGAGGTCGTATCTTTATGTAACAGCTACATATATGGTTGTAAAATACTCTTGGCTCTCATTCGGATCTAATTCAATACCAATTACAAAACAAAGATTTATTGAAACGCCCTCGGGATTGTGTGACTGCTTAGTCTGTGGTCGATCAAAGATCCAAAATGGGCCAGTGCCCTTTTGTCTAAGTGCCAATAGTTTTTGCGCTCTGTTGTGGAATGTGTTTTGTACTTCCCCAAGAAAGAAGACTTCCTCTCTTCCTCCCCTGACCATTGTTCTTGGGCAATCAATGAAATGACATCAGTGTGAGACTGTTCCAGGATTCGGGGATAAATGGGAGGAGAAATAAAAATAGGCGGAGGGAAAAAAAGGCGTCTACAAAACGATCGTCTCAAATTCCAATATGACTTTGTAGCTGAATCTTTTGCGTAAACAGCAACCACTATCTACAACTCATTTGGCTGTTTATAATTCCATAACACCTGTGTGGCAGTGGAATTCGCCTGCGCAGTCTTTACGGTAAAGCCGCTTGTTGAGCCCGCCCTCTCTTTGATAGAAAACTCCGTGATGTCGCTTCATCTTTAACCAGCTTGACCCAGAAGCTGCGAAGGAGGGGGAAGCAAAACGCACTAAACGGAATAGCCTTTCGGGTTCTGAGGGCGATCTGCAACACACTGTGAGTACACCCACACCAGCAGGACTCTGGTCAAAGAAAAATGGGTCGTGTTGATAGTGGGTGCACTGCAGCGTTGGCAAGGAGTGGTCACATCATCGACAGAGGCTAATGGTGGCTAACATGCTAACTATGCTAGCTTGAGCTTGCATGCCTGTATTCTGTGCAAGACGCGTGCTCCTATTTTAACAAGGGGTTCACATTTATGATCGCCATCTGATCATCATATTGCACGTTTAAGCTTATATGTTTACCGTGGAAATCAGAACTACAGCTCTTGTGGCTAACCTGTTTGCTAGGCTATACGCTAGTCTCGCTGTTGGCACCGCTCTCATGGGGCTATGTGGGTTATTGTGATGCTAACGGAGCGAGACAGACAAACCAGGTCAAATGGGTGCTGCTGGGAAACAGTATCACAGGGTTCATATTATGGTAATCTATGTATTTAATCTGGACTTCGAATGAGCTCTTCTTGCATAAATACAAGCCACGATAGACTCTTTGTTCTTCTGACTTGAGTTTGTTGCTGCTATGTCTGGTGCATGCAAATAATTACCAGTTCTGTGATCAATGACCCAGATCATGTATGTTGTGTTTCTTGGTTGAGGAACCTATGTCATACAATGAGAACGGCCACGGGCTGGGTCACGATCCCATCACGTGAGATGTCATATTTGCACTTCTCTGTAGTTAAACACTTGACAGCACAGTGGTGGACTGGCTGTGAGCATTTACTGTGCTTTGACCTAGTTGTTCACGGTCCAGTTCACATGCCCTCGCCAGATGTATTGCATGGTTTAAGAGATGTGTATATGCTCGCTTGATTTGTTTTTCATAGATTCATTTTTACTAGCCTTTCAATATTTCCTTTTTACAAATGTGTGTGTTATCTGATGCCTTTTGGGTGGGGGTCTCTGCAGTCTGCCGGACAGCTCCTCTGTCAACACAGAACCTGTTGGGTCTGTCCTGTGTGAACTTGTTTTGGTTGCAATTGTCTGGATGGGAATAACCGTCTCTGAACCTCTAATCTCGCTGTAAGTATGTAAATAGTGTTTACGGACACTGGACTGATAGTTGACCCCAAGAGTGTGTATACTGCACAGTGGTAATTTCTGTTGGTGTATTTATTAGGAAGGCAAACAAATGGCAGTGCAAAAGTATCACATTCAGCTAGGGATATCAGAAGGTCACATTTTAGTGTTGAGGTTATTGTGTGAAAAACACCTTAGTTAAATATTTGACCAAGGAACAAAGAATTCAATGTTCTGGGATTTTTGTTCCCAGAATGTTGCTTCTAAATTCTTTAGAGCTTGTGGATGGTATGAGTATATTAATATATAAATGGCAAAATCGAATAAACCTACTTAAAACAAGATACAGAATCCCTTGACATTCTAATGCAAATAGAGTGCCACTGTGCTTGGAATGAGACCTATTGCACAAATATGATTTTTATTAAACAATAGTTTCAAACTATGGATGAATATTTTTTTCTAATTCTAAACCATATAATATTTACATCCCCACATTGTGATTTACTTGCTGAATTGTGCTGGCCAGTTATTGAGTCGAGTGGTGTCTTTGACCTGTGATCTTTCTGGTGCTCTCTTGAGTTGGGCAGGTTCAGCTAATTGCCTGGGCGTGCATGTTAACATCAGGCATGTATGTGTGAGGAGGTAAGTGGATTATTTAGTTAAAGCCTCAATCCCATTACACACCACGCTCAGTCCAAATCAGTGCTCCCTTACATTATTGACATAACATTCAAAAAGTAGTGCGTTTCTGCTTGTGTTGTGAGACATGGCGAGCTGCAGGTGTAGAGCTTGTACATACATGTGCACGTAGTTGATGGAGTTGACAAAGCTTTCACTGTTGCCACATGTAAGCAGCACAGATGTCTCTGAGTTAAGTGAGTCACGCTGATGGAAGGTCCGGTATCAGATGTTTCTGTGACTCGTGGTGCGTTTTAAGTCGGTCAGATGTTTTACCCCAAGACATTTGAGTGACTGATACGAGGGCATCTATGCAATCTATGCCGGTTGTTTACACTTGTTTATGTACAGTTGTATTCAAATCAAAGTGATGCAAATTACATCAGTTAATACTTGACATCAGTTTATTGCGACTCTCAATTCGCTTAGAGTATTTGAAAAGGAGAGCACTCTTGCTCAGGTCTTACTTTCCACTTTTCTGTTTGAAAATGGCTGATCTAATGACATGACCGAGGCCAAGAATACATTCATTTGAAAACTAGAGTTTGAACCAATCAGTTTTGATAGCAAGGAACTAGGTTGATTGATTGTTATTTCCTTGGTTTGAAATTTTAGGTACCCCATCTTTAATTTAGTTCAAAATTAAAGGAATGTTGACCAAAACCGCTCAAATTATTCAAATTTTGCGTTCATGTTCCTCATTTTCTCCTGAGGCTGATTCTGAAGATGTAATGTTGAAGATTGAGAAATGGCAGGATGACTGTATCACTTATTTTTGAGTATTGTCTTCCTGTAATGACAATTAATAGTATTTTTCAGTTATTGCAGTCATGAATCACCATCAATATTGAATCCCTCTTATAAGGCTAATGTGGTGTTTGTTTTGGCTCATGCAAAATACAGAAGTGGATCATTTAGAACCACATGAAGAGGAAGTATTTTGACTCTGCCTGTGTGATCAACATCTGAAAACGGGGGATTTCTGGCCACTGTAAAAAGCAGAGGTCAACCAGGAGCAGCTGGTGAGTTCAACTAGCTCCCCCCTGCTGTTACTGGTGCGTTTTTGTGCCTGTCTAAGTGTCTCTTAAGGAGGGAATTTTTGGCAAACCAGGCAAGCTTTTATGAATCCTCGCGCTCCTGAGATGCACAATCCACAACATCCTGTTTCTCGGGAAGTGGGATCTGAGGGAATGATGGGAGTGGCGTGGGGACAGGACAGCGCTAATTGTTTTCTGTGTTGTAGCTGGGAAGAATTCCAAGACTCAAAGCTTTGACCAGGGTAGGGCCAAGGTCATGATGATAGTTCTACACATTCTGCATCTTTTTTTGTTCTTTTTTTTTTTGGTTTCAATACCTGACCTCTTCTCAAATTCAGATGTTCACTGCTGGATCAGTGGTGGGCCTCTTAATAAAGAACCATGCTGATCATTATTGATATAAAAACAATTTTTTGCACAGCCTTTCCGATAAAAGAAATGACTTAGAAAGATAATGCACAATGCTGTTAAAGTTGTTGTTGACAAGTCCTGAGTTACACAATCTCCACATTATTTCATTGACCTCTGTGACTGACAGCTGTGGATGCCTCGTTCTGGTGGAGGTTAAACCACACTCACTCCCAACTCTTCACATGCCAAGAATTATCTGTGCTGTTTATAATCTGTCATGTCACAGACTGACACATGGGCTCATTATGGGGAGGCAGCGTGGGACGGTCAAGAGCTGATGTGAGTGAAGGCAATGGCCTATGCTCCACAAGCTACACTTTAAAGAACATGTGCAGAAGTTAAAAGAAATGTAAAAAAATAAAAATAAACGGCGGTTTAACAGCTTAAAATGTATTTGTTATGCTGTAATTTTTGTTGTGGTTGTAGCAGAGATGACATTCTTGTGTACTCTGATCAGCAATGGCTATATTTTGTTATACAAGTCTAATTGTGGTTCAGTGCAATCATGCCATGGCTGTGACTTATGCCAGAGCTGCATATATCCAACTTCAAATGCTATTGGGACTCTTGAAATATTTACTATATCACTTCATTACACATGGTAGTAGCTGCTGAATGCTTACTATGGTCTCAATCAATCAACATTACACTTTATTTGATTTTGACATGCGTATGTGCCATTAAGAATACAAATGCTCTTTATGTACTATTAATCATACATGTTTAGTTTTTTATAATACATATATTCTAAAAGTGTTTAAAATAAAACAATAACAAAACATTTTTGTTTCATCCAGAACTATTTAACAATAATGCTGTTACACTTTCAGTGGTATTTAGTTTCATTGTAATCTTTTGTGATAATTCTCCGTGGCAATTTGTAGCCAATTTTGTAATACTCTCCCAGTACTATTACGTGCCAAAATGTGTTCTCGTGACAGTGTTGTGCTATCACCACAAAGCTTATAAGTCTTCATTTTGACCCAATGAAACATTTTGAAAGAAAGTAGCACGATAACAATGCATTTTAGCATAAATGCTGATTTACGGTAGAATAGTGGGTGGCCTGCTGTGCTGACTTGGCTGCAGACAATGCAAGGAATTCACCATTACATTTTATCAGTCACTTTGCACCCTCCTCTTTATCTTATCCCTACTCCTGTCCTTCCTCATACCCCTGTTTCTTGAGTGCCGTTTTTATATTTGCCTCATCTAAATTATGCCGTCTGTCTGTCTGGATTTTCCCTTTGGGAGGTTAGTATCAGCTGAGTCCTGGGCATGACTATATATGGGCACAAGTGGTACGGGCTCTTCAGGTGGAGGGTATTTAACTCTGAGGCCTATAGTCAGTGGGTGTAAAATGACCTCATCTGTTAGTCACTGCCATCTTCCATGCAAATTGTGGTTTGGTTAAAAAAAGCCATGACTTAACTCTCAACTACTCATTTTCTCATGAGAAAGTCCTCCCGGTCCTTCCCCTCTGCAATAAGCTAAACTAAGATAAGCTATTTTTGTTAATCAGCAAACCGCCACAATAATTTGTTTTTTTACGGTTAAAATATGTCGCAACAGTCTTTCAACATGTCAGATTGGGAAAACAGAAAATGATTATCTGAAAAATGTGAGTCAGTTCAACAGTTGACAAAGTTTACCCAACACATTTTCCAGCTATAGGCTTTGGTTATTTGCACTTTCTATTTCATGATGACACATAATTTTATTTGGAAGAAGCCATCTGATATTGTGTGCTTGGAGCCTTGGACATAAAGAAAAGAATGGGAAAACTTGTCCTCCCCCTCTTGCCATAAACTTGTCTAACTAGTCTTACAAGCCTGTTTCATGTTTGAAGTTGGGGGTTACATTGAACTGAAGTGTGTTAAGGTAAAAGGTGGGTCAGCAGATAACTGAATCACCCAAAAGTTTTGGGGTGGGTGAAACAATGTCTTTTGTTGGTTCAGCTAAGACCAGATAACAACAAAAGGGTTTGGGTTTTTGTGAACTCGGAGTAAAGTAAACTTATTTATTTGTTTACACTCATCTGTTGATGCCATTTTGGGGAAATTATAAAGATTATCTTGACCATAGTGTTCACTAAAATTACATTTCATAAAAACAGTTGAAAAAATATACCCTTCTGACTGCGGGCCATCTTCACACCCCGGTGGCCACTTTGCCTATTTTGTTTATAAAAACCTATGTGGCCGTGCCCTAAATGTACTCTGTATGACTATCTTTGCTTTCTCCTGGTCTTTAACTAAAGTTTACCACACTGGCGAGGAACAAGGACCGGTATAAGATCTGTATTGAACACATGAGCTCAATTTAGAAAATGGCCTCTGGGTCAGTTTTTTGTACAACCTCATTTCCAGGCTACATTTAGCATATTTTTATGGATAATATGTACACTATAGTAAAATTAGATGATTTTTGGTCATCAAAATCTTGACTTTTGGTCAAGATTTTTTTTCTTGTGAATGAATAAACGCAGAAGGTTAATAAGACAGCTGGTGTGTTCTGCACCTGCCGTGGTCTTCAGTTGGATAAGGCCATCTTTGTTTTTATAGTTGAGTAAGCACAGGGCGCATCGAGACATAGCACCTGTTTCTGAATCTGACCCAATAATCAGCACTTTGTCATTTTAGTTTGACCAAAGTGTCAACTCTAATTCCCAAAACATGTCAATGGTACATCTTTTTTCTGATATAAAAGTTTTAGAGGACTTTTTGTCGGTATTGCAAGTTTTTAGATACTGTTGCAGTTTGCATGTACAGTATAAATGTATTTAAAGACCTTTTTTTCCTAAATTATTTTTAGTGTTCCTGCTCTTGTGTTCTTAAGTTAGTCTAGTTTGCTGATTTACAAATCCATAAAGTCTAAATAGTATTAGTGCAATAGTTGAGGTTTAGTTTGTTAATCTACCATTGTCGATCTACTCTGTGCAGTAACGGTAAACTGCCTTTGTCAGTGTTTTCTTTGTCACTGTGTACCAACAGCAGAACACTGTGCCTGAAGCCAATAGTCTCACTCATTCTTTACTTTTTATAATGTTGCTTGTAGAAAATCCAGCTGCATTTGCTTATCTGTACGTGTTGTATGTTGTAATTCTTTGTTTTAGTTGTTCATTTTGGTTATACACGGCCAGACAGTGGAGCAGTAGACATTAACCCAAAGAAAATGAATTTCCACCAGGTTAAAAATAATGTTTAATTTGCGCCTGGGAAGGCTGCGGACTAAACACACAACTATTTTTTACCTCCCATGGTAGGTAAACATAGCTGCAGCATACACAAATGCATAACTTCGTAATCTGGGTGCAATTCTTTGATCGATCACAATCGATCACAGGGCCACGATTTATGTATTGTATGTATCTGCAGTTTGTGCAAACACAAAATGACTAAAGATTAACAAAACATGAATTTGGTGAAATATTTCTGAGTTTATTTTTAGGATTTGTCTATTTTCTCATTCCAACACGTCATCTTTTTCATAATTTATAATGTGTGCAAAAAGTTTTATTACATAAAAAAAGCTTCATATCTACACTCTCTTGAAGTTGTCACTGTGAAAAAAATGACTTTATGAACATACATCTGCAAGTTTGGTCCAGATAATTCCTCACTTTGTTAACGAAGGGTGTGGCCACAGGTAGAGCTGCGTCTGTGTGTCTCTTGGGTGTTATTTTCTTTACTGAGCAAACACGTGGCCTCATTGACATGCTTGTATGGTATTCTCACTATGTTGCTGCCTTTCAAACACTGGTGCCTGGTTTAAACCCCCCTCTTTCTCTCTTGCTCCTCTCTAGACTTGGTTCCTCCCTGTGGATTCACCTGTTTCTGGGCTGGGTGCTCCTGTCTCCCTCTGCCCATGAGCAACTAAAGCTCTGGGTTTTGGTGCCATAACTCCACCTGTTCTACTAAACCACGCTCACTGGTGAAGGTGTGTATACTCTCTTAATTGGTGAATGCTGCATGCATGTTTTGGTTATTATTGGTTTAATGATAAACCCCAAGAACCCTTCTCGCATTGCAATCTTGCACTCAACACGGACAATAATTTAGGCACATTATGAACACATTTCTCTTTTCAATTATACTGGACTGAATTGTATGCTGTTTTCATGACTTTCATAGTAGAAGCAATCCTAATATGGCCGTGGAAAATAAGATGTTTAGATTACTCTATTGAATAGAAGTATTCCTTTTTATGATGATTAATGACAAATTATTTTAGCCGATGGATGCAACTATATCTTTTGGGTCTCAATACTTAAGGCCTGTACATTTTCTTAGTAAATTTGTTACAAGTTAATTCTGCAGTTTACTTGTTTCATCTTATGGCTTCTAATGGTAAAGAGAAATACAATTCACTGGTATTTTTTCACTGGTATTTTTGCACTGCATTATCTTAGTATTTGCACAAATGTATTGTTTATCATATATATTTATCATATAAGAGTATTTTTCAACCACTGTGCTGTGGCACAGGTGCTGCACATACCTTGAGAAGTTGGGTGATTTTGGATAATTTCCAAAAGACACGCCAAATTGCTGAAAATGAGAAAAGGAAATAATTTCAGATTTCTATGATGTAAAGTCGGTCTCAAAGTGTATTAGATAGAAAATCAGTTTCAGCTGGTGGTGTGCCATGTGATTGTTTTCAATGAAAAAGGTTTGGTTACACTGTAATAGTCAATTGTATTCAATAGCTACACTTTTGCATGCACAGGTTCCTTGTTTTTGTTTTTTCATTCACTTCAGTTGTACAAAGGAAGAAACCATTTACAACCTTGAATAGTATTCCTCCGATCATGGGAGCCAGATATTTCAAAGCTTCTGTTCCCACGGCTCCCTGTCTCTTAAGCCTCTTGTGGGATCGGCTTATCTGGTGTATTTTGCTGTGGCTGTTTTTGGGAAAGGTGTGTCTTTATTTTGGCCCGCTCCTCAATGCTGTGTGCAGTGTGTATGGAGCAGTGTGAGAGCGCGGCTGCTCTGCTGGAGTCAGTCAGGGAGCAGGAGGTGCAGTTTGAGCAGCTGAGCCGGGCCCTGGAGGAGGAGAGGAGGAGAGTGGGGCTCCCCGCCACCAGCCCCTCCGCCATGGGCCTCTCTCTGCCCCACAAGCAGGTAACCCCAACGACGGACAGAGGCAGAGGTGGAAGAGCAGGCCATGTACCTGGGTGCTGTTACTTAACATAACAGAAAAGTAACTTTTGAAACTTGACACAAGTGGCATAAAAACCCTGAAAATCTGTATATACTTTATTTTTATTGTAAAACAATTACTAGGTATACAGCCTTGTCACTCCAAACCTCATCAGTTAGGCTCTTACCAAATAGATTTGTAAATAATTGTATCTTAAAATGGTTATTCCAACACATACACCTAAAATTAAGATTTAAAAAACAAGTTGATTTTAGATATTTACAACCTTTTTTATAGCCAATTATTTGGCAACCCCAAGATGGTTTCGGTATCCTTTAACATAATCTGAAATGGGCGTGAACTAGACCCACCTCTGCCTACAGCCATTGTGGATTTCCCCCACTCCTCACCATTCTCACCAGCGTCATAAAGGAGTTTCTCAGTGTTTTCTGACCAGTCTTTTGTGGTCACTGCAGTGAAACACTTCTATGTCGTTATGCAACTCCATCACTTACAGCTTGAACATGCCTCCAATGCCTTTGACATGCCAGAGATGGCCATCAGCTGCTCTTCCAAGCATGCCTTATGCCGGATGTGCTCACCTTTCCTCTCCACTTTTGTGGAATTTCTCTCATGACTAATGTCACTCTGTTTCAGCATGTCCCAGTGCTGTGTGGCCCCCCTCATGCATGTGTTGCTCAACCATGCATTGTGTTCATTGATCATGGTTTCTTTATGTAATGTCTTGACTTTGTCATGTGGTACTCTTGTCCACAAAGCCCTGAAAGAGATCTTCCTGAGAATGTAACATCTTTTCATTTTTGTAATACTAATGTCTATGCAAGATCAAAAACGTATTAAAAATATATATTTAATTGTAATTATAAAGGACCTAATATAGCATTCAACAGACTTGTTTGTTTATATTGTGATCATTCTGCCAGATTACACAGTAGTCACCAGCTCAATGGATTAATTAACAGGGCATTTGAAGCACCACATAAATGATTATAGTAAAGTCTGACCTTTCATTCGTAATGATTGGCTTTAATAGCAGTGCTGCCCCCATGTGTCCATTTATCACATACCTGTTACAAATAATTTATGTAACTGACAGAATGGTACAACTGTGTGTAAACTCAAGGGCACGAGCTACAACAAGGGTTTGTTTGAACCAGTGATGAGTGTTAAGATGAACGGCTGCATTCCAAGTGCCCTCCTACACGTCTGCTAGTGACTCACTGCCTTCATGATAAGGGGAAGCTTTGTCAGAGTTTTAGTCATTATCTTCCTCAAAATGTGATTTTAAAAAGTTCAATAACGGCGTAACAAGATGACTTTTTTATTTTTAGGCTGTAGTGATTCACAAGGGATTTTTTTTTTTTTTTTCAAATGATTTAATTGACAACGAGCTGTAGTTCTGCAGGTTATGCAGAACTATATTATCAATGTGAAGGAGATTGAGAGTGCAGCAGAAACCACAGCAGCTTACTTGCACTTTGGTTCTCTAGCTGCATAGATCCAATGTATAGAAGACGAAAGAATCCAGAGTGTGGAACTTTTTTGTGTATTCCAGTAGGTTTATGACTACATCTTCATCAGGGCATCAAAATATATCATACTCTCATATCCAAACATCAAACATGCTTTGGACATTACTTTTGTCTTCTCGGGTTCTTTTGTTTTATGTCTTTACCAACAACAAACACTTCACAATATATGAATGAAGTTGTATGTATTTTTTGTTTTTTGTCTTTACAGAACGGGCGCTTGTGTGATGCAGACATTGAGCGCTTAAAACTGACTGACCCATACTTAAACGGCACACAGGTATGCTTTCCATCACACGTTTCTCAGAGTATTCTTCACTGTGTCTGACTTTTTTAACACCCTGTATTTGTCCGGTTGCAGTACAGGATGGTGGACCCTGCACACAACTCTGTTGATGACGGCTACACACCAGAAGATGACTCCCACGAGGCCCATTCTGTTTTCTCCGATGAAGGAACAGCCCGGCGACAAGATAATGGGGTGAGCACCAACATCTCCAAACTGATTACCGAAAACTTTTCTTGTTTTCTTAGTTTTCTCTTACAGTTGTGCTTGAAAGTTTACACACTCTGGCAGACATTTGGTTTTTCATTTTTTCATTGTAAAGACAACAAACTACTCTTCTGACCTTGATTACAGTTTACAGTTCACAACTGTAAACAAAATGTATTTTCAATTTGGAAGATCATCATGTATAGTTTCTTCAACATATTGACCGGATGTTGTTGCCTTCCTGTTGCCCATTCTAGTTGAAAAAGCCAATGTCGCGCACCGTCATGCCGTCAGACTCCATGTCCATTGATGGAGGTCTTACCATGCCAGGGATGGGAGTGTACAGTGCCACGTTGGACCGGTCCTACAGACAGATCGGGGTTTCAGACTACCCCACCGCCACTGTCCCCAGAAACTACCACTACGCCCCCGTTGGGGGTTATGAAGACTACAGGGCAGCCCCACCTTCAGAGGCGTACACCAGTTTAAGCAGAGGCTCACACATGGACGAACGTTACAGGTGCAGTGAAAAAATATCAAATTTTGATATATTGATGTGAGGCCTTTTCCAATATTATGTTTAAAAAGTTGGGTTCCATTGAGCCACTTCAACAGTTGTATTTGAAAAACGGGTATACCTGAACGGATCAACTCGGACAAGACTTGTCGGCAGTCTATTTTCCCCCCCCCCATAATAATAAAAATTGATTAAATGCAATTATTGTATACATTAATTAAGCCTGGTTTAACATAAAAAAAAAATTCTTACATTTATTATACTATGGGAATTTGAAGAAAACTATTACTACTGCACTTGTGTGATTACATTTTCTTTTTTCTATTATTCAAGTGTTTTAGTTTAATAAATGTCTGCAGAGAATTTCCCAGCCTCTAAAATTGCATGGCACTAAAACAGTCTTGTCATTCGCAGGCCTGTTGATGGCTACAGAACCTTGGACTCTGGTTACCGGGCGCCGAGCCGGCAGCAGATGGATCCTTACGCCGCTCAGCCTCAAGTGAGCCGAGGGATGAGGGGCATGGGCTCTGCCATGGACATGAGGTATGGCCATGGGCACTACGGGCTGGAGGACGACCAACGCAGTGTGGGCTATGATGACTACGGCATGGGACCCCCGCCCATGCACCCCGGAGGCTATGGGACCATGCCTCGCCTCGGAGCAGGCCCCGGAGGCATGGACAGGAGGAGATTGAGGTAAACTGAGCTGACTCAATGATTTGCTGATTTGTGGCAAGTCTCTAAATGTTTCCCACTACAGGAGCTGTGAAGACACCTTAGACAGTGATGTTGGAATGGACCCTTACGCCTGGGGAGTCCCTATGACGCTAGATAGAGGCAGCATGGCGTCTCTGGACAGCACACTGAGAAAGGGTCCTCCCGGTTCTTGGAGACAACCCGAGCTGCCTGAGGTCATCGCCATGTTGAGCTATCGCCTCGATCCTGTCAAGACAAACGCTGCAGCCTTTCTCCAGCATCTCACGTTTAAAAATGATAAGGTAACTTACACCACACGGTACTATATCAGTTCAAAAGTGGGCTGTAGTAGCAGGAAGTTGTCTGAATCGGATCATGTTTCCAGGTCAAGTCAGAAGTACGTCGATTGAAAGGTATTCCAGCACTGGTGTCACTGCTGGACCACCCCAACAAGGAGGTGCACCACTCTGCCTGTGGGGCACTGAAGAATATTTCTTATGGGCGGGACCCAGACAACAAAATTGCAATAAAGAATTGTGATGGAGTCCCAGCTTTGACTCGATTACTTAGAAAAACACGTGACCAAGACCTTACAGACACCATCACCGGTATTGCGTCACACACACATCACTTGCACGTTCATGTAAGATTCAAAGTGTCTGATGGAGTTTTTATTTAAAGGCACTTTGTGGAACCTCTCATCGCACGACGCTGTAAAGATGGAGATTGTTGACCATGCTCTCCATGCTCTGGCTGATGAGGTAGTTGTGCCACACTCAGGCTGGGAGCGTGGAGGGAGTGGAGGAGAAGAGAGCTGTAAACCGCGGCACCTGGAGTGGGAGACGGCCTTGACAAACACTGCCGGCTGCCTTCGGTAAAACACCTTTTTAGCTGTTCAAACTTTTACACTTTATTAAACAATGAACTTCTTCTATAGGAATGTGAGTTCAGAACGAAGCGAGGCTCGGCGGAAACTACGAGAGTGCTCCGGTTTGGTGGATTCGCTCATGTACATAGTTCAGTCACAGATCAACCGCAAAGATGTAGATAATAAGGTAAATACTGTATTACTTTTGTCTGGATGTGTTGGACTTGAACGTGTAACTAGTATGACCTTAAATAAGACTCTTACAATATTTCAATAATTGACAAAAGCTTTTTCCTAAGACAGGAAAAGTTACGGCAGTGATTCCCAAACTTTTTCTGCTGGCCCCCTTTTGTACATAAGCATTTTTTAAGCCCCCCCCCCCAAAAGGACACATTTTGTTTTCAGAGCCCATTGCAGTTTATTTAACCCATTGTAATTAATATAAACCTCAGCCCTACCTGCAGATTGTACTGTGTCAAAAATGTGTCCATCTTATGCTAGCAGTGTCATTTAGCCTACTGTATTTTCGTTCATTCATTCGTCCCGCGCCCCCCACCAGAGTTATGGTACCTAATAGATGTGAGTTCATTTGTGAGACATGAGAAATTCTGTCATAAGTATTAGTAGTATAAGTATTTCCACCTCTTTCTGGTTTTTCATGTTTGCAATATGTACACAATTAAATTCTTGCCAGTCTGTTTTTAAACTTAGTTGCTATATTTTTGTAATTATGCTACTTTTAAAAATGCAAACCGCCACCCAATTCTTAGCCCAATCCATAAAAAACAAACTCTTGTGTTTTGGTCTGATTTATTTTGTCATGAAAGTGGAGTATGCTTTTCAGACACAAGATTCTTATGGTGGATTTCAAATGATCTAGGGAAAGATTTTACTTTGTATCGTTACAGAACTGTCTGCCTGATTCCTTTTGATAATTCTGCGTTTTCTTCCCTCAATACTTCTCTTTTGTAGCTGGTAGAGAACTGCGTCTGCCTCTTGAGGAACCTGTCCTATCAGGTCCACAGAGAAATCCCGGGTTGTGAGCGCTACTTCGACAACACGCCCCTGAGCCAAGGCGGCGCACACGGCCCCAACAAAGGCGGCTGTTTTGGCTCTCGAAAAAGCAAAGGTTAGTTTTTGTGTAGCACTAGCCGCTCATGGTCACTCTGAATCAAAAGCATTGGCTGTTTATAATGGTTCATTGCTGTTGGGTCTGAGCTTGTTGGTGGCAAAAGGCGCCTGTTGCTGGTTTTCACAATATCCCACCTTTTTTCTTCATCCTTTTTTCCTTTGTTCCGATACTCCTCCTTCCCACCCTCCTCCTTCTTACCTGCCCTCTTTGTTTGGTTTAGACGAGTGGTTTTCAAAAGGTAAGAAGTCTCATCTTGTTATTACGGGTTGAAAACTGACCATCATCCTCATCACTCATTCAACTAACTTTATTTTATTGCGTCAGAACATTGTATTCATCATTTGTGGGTGTTTTTTTTGTACTGAGTCGGCATGTTCGAAGGTCACATGGCATTGCATGGTCACATATGAGCTTGTCAAACGGCTGCATGTCACTTCACCTACAAGAACCTTCAAATTGAGCTCTTTTTTGGTATTTTTCTTGAGCCTTTTCTTTTGTTTTCATTTCTGCAGGAAAGAAAGACGGAGATGATGGAAGTTCGGACCAAGTTGACATTCCAAAGAGGACAACGCCTGCCAAAGGTATGTCCTTGAGAAACATAAAAGATTATTTGAAATTATGGCTTCTAAATTGTTTTTATTGCTGTAATTAAATTTGAATGCTCATATTTCAGGATATGAGCTTTTGTATCAGCCTGAAGTGGTGCGAGTTTACACTTCGCTTCTCAAAGAAAGCAAAAATCCATCAGTCCTGGAGGCAGCAGCTGGTGCCATTCAAAACTTGTGCGCTGGGCGATGGACGGTATGTTGTATACGTTTTAGATGTTCTTTGTAGTCGTAGTGGTGGTGGTGGTAGTAGTGTCATTGGTTACACTTGTTGCCTACTGATTTTTGGATGCCTAATATTTGCTGTTAAAATAAATTTTGAATGAATGTAGCAGTGATTCTTCATTTACCAATAAAAAAAAAATGTCTCTAGTATGGGAGATATATTCGAGCTACGGTGCGTCTTGAGAAGGGTCTGCCGATAATGGCAGAGTTGCTGGCCCATGGCAATGACCGCGTGGTTCGAGCCATGTCTGGAGCTCTGAGAAACCTTGCCATTGATGGGCGGAATAGCGAACTACTAGGTAAATTGATATTTATGTTATTGGGACTTTGTCTGAACAGACGAAACGTAAAGTGTTCTTACAGGTTTGCCTTGCTTGCCCATAGGTTTACATGCAGTGCCTCATCTTGTGGCCAATCTCCCTGGAGGCCAAAGTCAGTCGGGGCGCGTTCTTTCAGAGGAGACTGTGGTGTCTGTACTGAGCACTCTGGCTGAAGTCCTGGGGAATCGACTGGAAGCAGCGAAGACCCTTCGAGCTACGCAGGGCATCGAAAGGCTGGTGCTTATCAACAAAGACGGGTATGTATGTAATTAATTACCTTTTTGAGTCTTTTGGGTGGGGCTTCCTTGTTATTCACCAGTACGATTCACTGCGTGTCCTATAATTATCTATGGGTCTCCCTTTTTTTTATCCTTTAACAAGAACTTTTGCAAGGGGGGCCTTGGCGTCATCAAACATTGGCCTTTGAAAACATTTCATGTTTTTTATAATTTTAATTATCCAGACATTATTAATTTGGTGGTTAACGTTAATTCCATCAGTGGATGGTTCTTTAGTCCACTCCACTATTAATCTATTTCATATACAAGTGAAAACGGCATTGTATTGGCAAACATTAGAAAATATGAAGAAACAAAAAACAGCTGTAGATTTTGGTGCTTACATTGATATTCAAGCCGGATACAAACATCCTCTTCAACCATTTTTTATGAATCGCTAAATAATTCAGTGATTTCTTCTGCATACTGCATTTGGCTCAGGTTTGCCACGTCCCCTGTTTAGTCAAAAAGACATTTGTTTAGCCAACCAAGAATTTCTTTGACAACAGCTCCAGAAGCAAATGCATTTTAAATGCATTTTTATGTTAATATATTTTCTCTGCTGTTTTATAGAAAGATTATTATGGACATTATTACTGTGTGTTTGTAGGAAACGTTCTGAGCGTGAGGTGCGAGGGGCCGGGCAGGTGCTGCAGCTCATCTGGGCTCATAAGGAGCTCCGTCGGGCGCTGGAGAAGGACGGCTGGAAGAAGACAGACTTCATGGTGAACCTGAACTCCTCAGTCAGCACTAATGGCCCCAGCAGCCACGCCAACGGCACCTATGAGGACAGCACAACGCCACTGCTCGACAGAGGTCAGAAAGATGTTTGCATCATTTTTAGGCCTGTCACTCATTTTTTATGTTTTTTTTTTTTTTTTAATATGGCCAATATAGGAATACAGCAATGTAAATAATTATATAGAGAAAACTTAACCATTGGTGCAAATACAATCCATCAGAGTCCCTGTGAACCATTTTCAATTTATTTTTTTATAATTAGCAGCAGAATTAAAGCATGAGTTTGTTTCTTAATCTGAAAATTTAAGCCAAAAATACATGTATTTGAAAACTAGCAATCAGACCAAACAGTTTTGAGAACAAGTTTGATTTTAATGGAATATATTTTTTGTGTTTCAAATTTGGGTACTCCAGCTTAAAGCAATAATTAAACATACATTTGGCATATTACCCTAAAACTGCTGTTTTCTTTGTAATGCATAACGAATATATTTTCATATTTTATAATTGATTTCCTAAATACAGTGAACTGGTCTGTAGTTTTAGGCAAAAAGGGCATGGTGGAGTGAGGAAGTTGAGTGAATCTCTGGTTTACCACATGCATCTAGACGCAATACCCACTGCCTCTGCCGCGCCACAAAAAAAACGCATCTGCTGCGCCGTTGTAGACAACGAACACATGTTTAACAGACAGACTGACACTTCCGGTAAGCCGGGAGGCATTGGTGTCAATAGAGAGGCACATGGCAGTCAGTGTTTTGTTATTAAAGGCAATGAGGCGGCAATTGGACTGAAATTAGGGCCACTATAAAGGGCGGGCAATAAAGGCGGCTATAACCTGTAATGGGGAACGCCGGTTAGTTCAAGATTTTTATTATTCTGAAGGGCCTCATAATCAAGTTTTTGAAAATGTTGAAAATGACGCATGTTAATGGCTATTGCACTCCTTCTTAGGTGAGAAGAGAAATATGATTCCTCTTAATAATCTTGGCCCTGGTTAGTATTTGCTAAATTATCAACTTTCATCCCCTTTTAAATTTGAAATGAGTTTTAATTTCTTTGCAAATGTCTTGTCTTAGAAGCCTACACTACACTGGACCAGAGGAAACGCACTCTGGACGACACTGCTGCCACTTTACCAGTACGTATTATGTATTAGTATTATTGTTGGTAGTATGATTGTATGCCTTCTCTCACAAGCTGCACTGCCCTCTGCAATCTGCTAACCCCTGAACACTGATTAACTGCTTTTCCGGTTTGACTTGAACTGACAGTTTTCACGCTCACGCTTCTGTCTCTCTGGTTTTCTCTCAGCGAGGGGTCTATGGGGTCAGAAAAGGCTCCTTGCCCCTGTTGGACTCCTACGATGGTTAGCCCTCCCCTCCCTCCTAACCCCTCTGCATGTAACAGCATGGTATGTCCAACTCACCTCTCGTCCTGCATGGACTTCAAAGGTTTTAAGCCTGACCAGCCAGTCCTTAACTTTATCTCAGGCCTTGTTTGACATGTTTTTAAAGAGTTCTATCAGTCTCTTTGTTAGTTAACATTGATGGAAACCGGTTTTTTGTATTCATTGATATTGCTGTAATCCACCCATAATGCAAGTCTTGTACGTTTTACAAAGCGCCTGTGAAAACTGGATAACTGCATATTCTATTGACTCATATATTCCCGCTATGTGAAGGTTCACAAAAAACAGGGTGCGTTTAAAGTTAAAGAAATGTTATAATGTGGCATACATGCAGTTGAGCCTGAAAATTAAATGCTCGTATTAAAACGTTGTGTGATTACATTTAAAAAGATTAAGCTGGTACTATGTGGATGATAGCAATTGTATTTAACATTGCAGAGCCAATGGTCAGACTGGTTTGGCCGCAACCTCAGTTTTTAAGCGTATTCTGTATTCTTATGCTTTGTAAACGTACTTGGTTAAATCATCCTTATAATCTGTGGATCTCCTGACAATTTAGATTACTTGTCTACCACATTGACAACATTTAGGTTGATCAAATCAAACCTCACTGTGGATAATTTGGTTTTTAGTCATTTCTGATTATGAGCTTTTGTTTTATTTTGGATGGCTGGTTTGGTTAAAGGTGTATTATTATGTTCTTAAACTGTAAATCCCCAGTGAAACCTCTTCTCTACTAATAATGGTGAATTAATCAAACTGGTATTTTGTGCTATATATGCCCAACTGTGCCCAATGGTGCCTTTTTCTGTATTGTTGGAATGTTTTGATCAACCCTGAAATGTATTGGGATAGTTTTGTTTTGTTTTATGGCCTCTATAACCTCATGTGCGTACGCCTCCCTGTGGCTGCATAGAGTATTTTTACATGATTGAGAAAATGCTCTAAAAAGGCAGCAATGCTCTTTACTGCACAAGGCCTCTGTGATTGTAAACTTAAGTATTGTTAGTGATTCTGCTTAGTGTAAGTGTCCCACAGAGTGAGTGTGCTTCTTGTGAATTACCTCCTTGTTTCACTGGTATACTCCTGCAATGAGTGTTTGACATTGACGCATGTTTTTTGTCCCGACAGAAAAACTAATAGTGTGCATCACCCAGACCGGGCCCTCCCTGCCCTACCACTGCTACTGAAGAAGATCCCGATGCACAGGCCCCTTCATGACGGGATTAACCCACCAGGGGGCGACATCCAAAGAGACTGTTTGCAGGCAAAACATGTGACACACAGACACCCACTTTTCTACTACTATATTGTAGCAAACAGAATATATAACGTTTTTAAATTATTATGTATTGGCAATCACCTTTGTTGACAATCACTTTATTTTTGGTGTTGCCATTTTTTCTTTTCCTTGCTATTGTCAACATTTTGGTAAAACTTTGTCATGGTAAAGTTGTTGCTGCCGCCAACACTGCATCCTATTGATTCAATTGTTCTATGTAGGTTATATTCTGTATATAAAAAGAAAATGGGATGACTGCGTTCGGTGTGACTTGTTAATTTAAATCGCCCCTTTGCCGGGACACTGTTGGGAGTTTTGGGACTGGCTGATGTTTTAGCAGGATGTGAGTGACCTGTAGATCAAGAATGTTGTTTATTATAGGCTTTATTTTCCTGTGTAGAGATATTTTCTCCTGGTCTGGTCAAAGACAGGTGTGAATAAGCCAGGCGTGTGGATAGTTGTCATAATGATAAACCTGTGATGTGTATGTGTGTCAAATGAATACGGACCTTAAGCATATGTTTATTATGTGTGCATTATGTCTGTTGAATGCACGCTCCTGTGACAACTTTGTGTCGGATGTTTTGTACAAATCGCCTCCTTTTTCCGTTTGAGACCTTGCTTTTTTTTTACCTGTTCTCTTACCTAAAAAATACCTTGCCATAAATAAACACTACTAAACTAATTACTTCAGATATACTCATCCTTCTCTTTAACAGGGGCTAAGTGTAATATCACAAATCTGCTGCTTTTGGCCATGTTGTTGCACATACTTTGTTTTCTTTAACGAAGGAATAACAAGGAAAGCTCCTTAATGATTTAATTGGGAAACTTTAAAATGTGCACATTGTTGAACCCAACTTTTACAGCTTTATTTTCTACGGTTTTTATATTTTAACGGTTTTAGTTCAGTAAGCAAAGTTTCATTTGTTTAGCCCTGATTTTATCCTGTTACCTTAAAGGCAAAAGAGACCAATCATCTTTGTTTTTTACGACTCCATACACGGTATAGTATATTTGTAATGTTGCCGATCCATGTAAAATTATGATGTACCATTCGTACCTGCCTTGGCTCTTGAAGTTGCTTTTTCAGTATAAAATGTAACTGGTTATACTGTTTTTATAAATAAAGATCTTTTCTTAGATGAAGGCGTGCTGCAGTGTCATATGTGATGTACCACGAGTACGTCGGGTGGAAGACGAGACGGAGGCTGTGTCAAGTAAATTAACACGTCTAATTAAAGAGAATTGGATAGGTCTAGCAGAGTAACATCCTATTTTGACTCGCTAAGGCAAAAGACTTGAATAAGATTATCACCATGTTATGTATTCACCCCTGTAGTTTTTCTGTGCAGTAATTACAGCCTGATCCCTCAAACTGGTCCCGTCATTCAGAATTTCAATGTAGTTTTCAAACCACATATTGCTGATATTAAAGTGGTGACACCTCAAGCTTTACTGTCATGTTTAACAAGAAGCTGTCAGCAAACCAATGCATGTTCTAGTGCAATGAAGTATTTAAAGTCAAGTGGGTGAAGGTCAGGTGAGGACGTAGTCTTCATGTCACACGTAACTAACGATTTAGAGATGGTTAAAATGCAGCTGTTGGGTCATGTAGCTTTTGAATGTGTGCAGTTTGACTGTAAATCTAAATTAAGCGTCTCACTGGCTCTGTATTGAGACTTGTGTGGCGCTATGTAACATATCTGAAGTAATGTTTTTTGTTGAGTGTTTAAATGACCACCTTAAAACATGTAAAGCACTTTGTGTGACCTTGGTCTGTGAAATACTTTCCAGATATTAAACTGTTTGTTGTTTGCTGTAACATTGCGGCCGGGGGTACCTAAAACAAAATAATTAATTGTTTGTCTCAATAGAAAGGGTCTTGTAAAAGTAAAATGTTACAAACTTGTGAGAGCGAGCCCTGTGAGTCTCAATTTGACACTTTGGGCTGAGACATGATTGGCTGAGTGACATTTCTGCCTAAAAAAACCTTATCTGAATAAGTGACCAAAAATACACACTAACATACAATATATACTAAATATAGAACCAAACTGTTTTTAGAGTGAATAACAAAATCAATATCACTAGTTTAAGTTAAAATCTTTGGATTGAAGTTTGGTACCCGAGCTATAATATCAAACAGTTTTTTGGGGGGGATGGTCCTTTCTTTTAACACTTTGTTAAAACTACTTAAACATCATATACTGGTGTTCAACACAGATGTAACATGACACTTTCTATTTTTATAATTTCCCAAATAATTCTTGCGTTCATGTGACTTTTCACTTGATACAGGCTTTCAAACTATTAGTGAGTAATGTCGGTGCATGCAGACTTTCTTGTAAACTTGAAACCACAAACTCTGCAGATTCCCCCTCCTCCTCACGTCCCACCCTGTGGTGTCACAGCTATTTTCAGCTCCCATGCTGTTTCCTCTATCTCCCTTACGCTGTAATCCAAACGGGGAACATTGAACTCCAGGCCTGGGATCAGGACGAACTGCCACAAGAATACCACACAAGGAATATTTGTGTGCTGCCACTATGTTTGCGGAAGTAAGGAAGACCCCAGTGTCTGTCCTTCTGTGCTGAGGAAGAGCTGTAAGTGGATACATCTGGATGGAGTCACACGAAGTCCAGGGTTTGTCCTCGTCTCACTTTGATGAGTTGGGCAGGACCCCTGCTCCGGACTCGTCCCGCCACACCACTCACACAGGGAGGCAGAGTGCACTGTGTGGTTTGGGCTATGGCTGTGGGGTGGCGTGGAGACATTTGAGGCCCTTCATCCCTTTCTTTTTGATCAGCTTCATGGTAGTGGTCTTGGTTTATTTGATGCAGCATATAATTTATGGAGGACCCTTTAAAGACCCACTTTTCTTTGTCAAGTTCAATGAACGTTGGCCCAGACCCAGCATAAATACACAAGAGGGACATCTGCCCACCAAACTCTTCATTCCTGTGTCATCTGCAAACACACCAATGGAAAATGGGACATTATGAGGACACAGGTTGAGAAGCTCTTATATGTTCCAATGTTTGTAATTTGATGCAGTGACATTTTTTCTCATCAGATTACCTTTGTAATCATATTTGTCTGCAAATATGTATTTCATTATTTAAACATCAATCTACTGTATGTTGGTTTTGTTTTTTATTTGTACCATTGGATGTCTTGCCTCATGTTGTCAGTCCACTTTGCTCTGATCTATGCACTCACCCCCTCTCGCGGCCAACAAATAAACTAGCTTTTTACGACGACCCCGGGCCGTCATGACCTCTTATTCTGTCTGAAATAATTATGCCTCATAACACCCAGAAAACTAGCTTATGCACGTTTAATACCACGTTTAATAACAAGTTTACATGTGTGCTGACATTTGCAACGAGTAAGCAGAACATTGGTATCTTTGAGAAGGTAAGTTTTAGCGGGTATTTGGAAACCACAAGTTCTGTTTAACTAGTCAGATTTTAAGTGTTGTCTTTTTGTTTAGTTTACTGCACTTGTTAAATCATGTTCGCAGTGTTATGACTGTAATGTGGCATATATCACTGTGGTGATATTGTAATCCTGGTGTTTGCTAATGAAGCTAATTGAATGTCCTGTTGATGCTAACGCAGGTGTGCACGTGCCGTCATCCGCGAGACTCATTAGATGCATGAATTAAACATGTTTACAGCTTCATTCATTTTCACTTCTATAAAGTGTTTTTTTTCCTCAATAATTTTTTTAATACGTCAAAATAGCGTATTCTTCATGGTCTAATTTATACTCATTTAGTTGGGTTATTCATGGGATAATTTATGCAGAGCCAAGTTTGACTTGTTCTGGAGCCACACAACTTCATACTGAAAATGTATTGAATTCTTAAATCAATTTTATCAAATACATTTTGAGTGATGTGGATGAAGGACACGTATCACATGCAGCCAGTGAACTCCTCTTCCATAAGATAAAAATCTAATCTTAACTTGCTTCTAACAAATTAAAAACTTCAATCTGCATTATTTATGTTCTCAAGCTTTCCTCTGTGGAGAGATGTGGTGTTATGAAAAACCTGGATTTGAGGCCTTGCTGCTCTCTGAGCTGCAGAAACAGCAGCAGTCCAGCCAGTTCTGTGATACTGTACTCAAGGCAGATGGTAAAAGTTTGTTGTTGGTTCAATGTGAGAAATAAGGCATTTTTTACTGGCATTACTTAATGTTTTCAGGGGTGTCGGTGCCAGCTCACAGCTGTGTTCTCTCGGCTCTCAGTCGTCAGTTCTCCTCTCTCTCGTCATCGCCGGACCTGGGGCAGAAGAGACTTGTGGAGTTTCCCTCTCTGGGCGCATGCACGTTGCTACACTTGATTCGACTGTTGTACTCTGGACAGATGGTCGGCGAGGGTGAAAGAGAAAAGCAAGAAGTTGTTTCTGCTGCTGCTAAACTTGGTATCCATGGGCTTGTGGAGGTCTCAACCTGTGAAGTTAAGCACAAGAAAGTGCAGGATGGACGTATCTACGCAGAGGTGGGAGTGCAGACTGACTCCCAGATAATAGTTGAAAATCACGTAAGGCTTGGAGGTTGGAGGAGAGAAGTGAAAGATGGCGCAACACTGCTCTGGAGGGAAAGACTTCCCACTCAAGGCTCCGAAATGTGGACACAGACTGAAAACCAGCAAACAAGTGGCACTTCTCCACAGCCCTCTGTCTCATATGAAACTATTGACCTAAATGCATTTCAGACCCTGAGTCAGACAGAGCCTGTTCAAATCCCTTATGTTCCCATGCCTGTGGCCCATCCAAACAATTATGGTTACGGACAGTCCTCAGTGTCACCTGCTATTCCATCAGCTGCTGTGCACTTCTCTTCCGTTCAACATAATGTTTATAACATTCCCACCCAAGCATTCCCGCCCTATGCCGTGGAGACTCCACACTGGAACCAGAAGTTAAGTAGAGCTGCTGAGCCTGAGGAGTGGGCGGAAGAGGGTTTCGAACAGTTCGAAGGAAACATACCAGGATTCATCAACTACTTTCTGAACCCTGCACATGAAGGGGATTCTAAACAAGGGAGAAGACAAGGGCGAAGGAGGCAGGGTGTGGGTGGCACAAGACAACCAGGGACAAGAGGAAGACCACGAGGAAAGAGAGGAGGACTTACTCAAACTGTAGATGTGCAGGACGTGACTGTGAGCAAGCTATCCAAGATGTACCTTCAGAGGTGGGGAATGTATGCAAACAGAACAGGGCAGGGTGGCGGGGCAGTCGGTAGAAGGTTGTGTGTTAAATCCAGAGAAGTTGTGAGGTCACGGAGATGTACCCAGAGACGAAAGGGTCGAGGCATTGATTGGGAACTGAACCAGTGTGCCACCATGCCTGTCAAGACAGTAGGTCAGCGTCGTAGACCAAGGTCAAGGGGGACTGCACTACTCCAGGTATGTAAGCTGTGAGCTATCAACATATAACTATTCTGTTACTTATTACTGTGTGTTACTAGTATTTTTTGTTACTAACAGAAAGCTACATTACGTTATGCGTGTGGCCTTTGGACTTGAACTTACAGAAGCTAGTTTATTCATTTTACACATATCCTTCTGTGGACCATTCACCTGCTGGAGGGGCTGTTGCTAAGATAATTGGGTGGCAGCTCTGGTGCCCCCCCACCCAGAAATGGACAAAAGGGGATGAAGATGAATTGATAAATTTCTCGTCTTTAGATGTACTGGTCTTGCCACTCTTTTTGAATCTGGGAGTTTTTTCCTTTTCTAAAAAGGCACCTGGTACTTTTTTAGTTTGTGTTCCTATTTTGTGCGTGTTCACATGTAATTTGAACTAGGAAAATGTGGCAAACCTTAAGGTCTATTTTAGCTGTTGCTCTTGAATAGGTACTTACCTATTCACAGCTGATATTTAATCAAGTTATTGCAACTGTGTTTACAGAGTGTTTACTGTGTGAATGTAACAAAAGGGAACTGGGTGGTTTACATGGCTAAATAGGGACTAGTTTGTGGTGCTGGTATATTAAAAAACCTGTTATACGCTGTGATTACTCCTCAGAGGGCCCAGGTAGCAGCTAAACAACCACTAGCTCAAGGTCTAGAAGAGCGGCCTGAGCATATGGATCTGCTGCTGGAGGATGTGATGATGGGATTGGACATTTTACCAAGTAACAAGACAACCTCTAAACCTACGCCACGCACCAGGCGTTGTGTGACCCCTGCTTCTGTAGCGAAGAAAAGGAAACAAGATGGATCCACAGCTGTGGTTGTGGCGTCTGGAGGAAGAGGCATGGCTAGCTCAGAGGGGCCTGTACTACAGCAGCAGCAGAATGACGGGGAGATTACAGACATGCTGGATCAGTTCCTTCAATCCTTTGAGCGACTGGAATCAGTAGCAGCACAAGACTCCACTGAATCTGAGCCTCACACCAATGTAAACCAACGCAGAAAACTCAACCTCCTAGAGGACTCTGTGCCGTCTGCAGGGACACCTGCTCAGAGCATGTCTACACAGTCTGAGACCAGTGGCACTGACAGCCCAAAGGGACTATCACAAACTTCTGCTCAGCTTCACAAAAACTCCAGCCCAGCTGTGAGACGTACACGAAGAAAGAAAGACTTTCTCTTCTCTCTGGAGAAACCCCGTGCTAAGCGTAAGAAAGTCTCAGTAAATTCTGCTTTGAAGAAAGAGGAGGTGGAGCATCAGACCACAAAGCAGCTTAAACAGATTCCTGTGGTCCAACTGGAGCGCAGATTACTCCCTAAAAACCGGAAAGTGGTCAGTCAGGTCAGTGAAATGAATCACATATACTCATAAAGATCTTGACTCATTAACTGTATATGCTCACCTGTGTTACAGAGTCCTTCTCCCAGAGCTAGGAATTCTACATCTGCCAATATGTCCACCAAGACATATCCCATCCGGAGCAGGTTTAAGGAGTCTCTTAACACGGTATGAAATAATATAATTCTAAAAAGTAAGGCTAAAAAGTGTTCTTTGTTTTAGTACCCCTTAGATTCTGAAATGTATTTTTTTGCTCAAGGCGTTACACATAGTAGAACGTGTGAATGTACTTTGCAGGACGCCATTACAGGAAAGCATTAAACTAACTACTTTCTTTTTTGTATCCTCAGGAAATTTTGTCCACTCCCAGAGGACAAATGGAACATAATAAAGAGGTTGAATCAACCACAAGAAAAGGGAGAAAAAGAGCTTTGGTCTCGAACAATGAGGAGAGCAGTTCAGTTGAAGTAAAGAGAATTAAACTCTTAAATAGTCCCTCACAAATGACAGATACTGATGTCATTGACGTCGAGACCATCTCGCTGAGCAGTACACACAACCCAGTATTGATAGATAACTTGGAAGGGGAGACTGACCTCATCTTAGAAGTGTGTTCTACAAACGCAGACCAGGAGAGCAATGATATCATTGATGTGGACAGTTTAGACGAGGACTTGGATCAGACGAGAGGACTCGAGAGAGAACTGGTCCAATCAGAGGTGGTTTGTTCCCTCAGAGCTGATATTGTTACTACATGTGATGCTTTGGAAAATGATATCGATGTGACTGGCGGCTCAAGCCCCGCCCCCACTCCAGTGCTCATCAGCTGGACGGACTCCTCAGAGTTTGAGGACGACGTGGGGTCAGAGTCATCAGAGGAAATGACCGTTGTGTTGTCAAAAGGGAGACTGGTGCGATGCTAAGACAAAAACTAGTCTTAAGTGCATATTGTTTTATGTTTCTATTTTAGTCCTATGTGTTTGTGGTTTTGAATTATATAAAACAATATATCCTGCTATTTTTACATTGAAAGGTTTATAATAAAAAAATCAAGCTAGATTTACAAGTTCATCTTTTATACTTACTCTAAATGTTCATTCAAAGTTAACGACTGTCTTTCCTATACGCACTACGAATAGGAGACAAAGTCGTATTATCGTGTTTTACAAACAAGTTTTATTGTGAGTTTTAATAATAAGATGTAATTTTTTGTTTATATGTATATTTGGAAAGGGAAACTGGACATTTATGTTTATAATGTTATTCATTACAAGATTCTTTGGGTTTGTAAATGTTTGTTGGTATTTCTTGTTTCTATAATTTTCCCTCAAAGCCCTGAAAGGATTCAGGTATTATTTACTGCCAAATGTTCATAAATGTTCTCATTGGAACTCTTTGTTTTTATTTTATTATACGTATTGTAATTGACAGAATATTTGTCTGGTACAAACAATTCCACCATTAATTCACTTTAGTTGATAGGTATATTATATTTTACTGAAATGCTGGAATATCTTTACAACAAATTATTGATTACAATTGTTATTGTAGAAAATATGTACAAATAATTGAGCAATTCTAATCAGACAAAGAGCTCATACTGCTTACTACTACTTAAATCTGTTCAGATGAAGACCATAGATTCTTAAAATAATGTCTTACAAGTGTAGACAACGGTTATATATCAGTTAATGTCCTCCATATATGGATTCAGATTACCTGTCAAACAAGTGTTTATTTAGTTCATATTTCAGTACATCATAAAATTATCTAACAAAACTCCACTCTCATACCTTTTCTGACATGTGCAAACTTAGAGAAAGGTAACACGTGAAGTGAAAATGACTTTTATTTGTTATCAGCTTCCTGCACACAACCCTTTGCCACATCTCTGCTCAGCATTGTCTCATGTGGGGTCTTCACTTGTGTTGCTTTGCAGAGAGCAGCCCAAATGCAGTAAGTGTTGGACATAAACCTCGCCAAATAAAACTGCATTTTCTTATGAGCTTGTGTTCCCTGTTCACAGTGCGACTTCTCTTGGCTTTGGATGCCCAGATGAGAGGTCTGATGTCAAGGACTTGTGGCTCAAGGCAAGATTAAAGAAAGGAAAGAAGTGCTGGAGGTGTTATAAGGGGTAGGTCTTTGAATTGTGATGGTCCTCAGTCTTATTCCGTCTTGGTTTGACCTAGTGCTGGATGCGTCTGATGGACTGGATTTGAGGGGTCTGGCTGTGGGACCCCCAGTTCCTCCAGTGCTGGTAATCTCCGCTGTGTCTCTCGCACTCCATGATGTATTGCTGACCCCTGTAGCCTGGATACTGGTAGCACACAAAGCTGGAAGGAATTAAATGTATGGAATGGTCAGTACTCACAGTCGGGGGTTACTTTTAGAAATGGCAGACGACAAGTGTGAGGAAATGGGGATTTGAAACACATTTTAGGGATTATGTTTGGCATGTACTTCATGCTGGGGAGGGCTCTGGCACAATCAGCAGCTATTACAAGGGTGATTTAGAGAGTTTCAATATCACCCAGCTTCATCTATGTAACCTCAAGGGATTTTTCTTCAATATAGATTTTGAAGAAACATTTGTGAACTTGTGTAACCAAACTTTGAAGCCAAAAGATTTTCCCACAGTCCAAAGATCCTATTGTTGAACATTGTGATGGAGCTGAAAAATTGTTCTTGGTAAATATGGTCAATGCCAAAAGTAGTTATAACTCATTTATCCATTTCCTGGACCAGTACATATCAGTGGTCTCAAGCATGCGACAATGGTCAAGCAAAAAGGTATTTTGTCAAACAATAATGTCAATGCAGTCCTCACGGTCCCACTTAGTCTGTGCAAATATGGCATGTTTACATAATTTCAAAGCTTTTTTTTTTTTTTTATCAATAACGTAACCATTGCGTTTATTTTACCATACACACTGAACCCTGAATGTAATAAGCAAAAATTCAAAGTAAACATTATTAAACCCAGTCTTTATCACAAAGCCTCATTGCTTTTCGTCCAGTTTTGTTTCAATCCAAGCAGCTGGACTCATTTTGTTCATAGAAATATATGAAACTGATATCATCCTCATATTCAATTAATTATTCAAGTAATTATTTGGGAAAAATACATTCATAATGAAATTCTTCTACTTCTTATAATATACCGCTACATTTCTTCTTAAAATGTAGCGGTATATTATATTTATCCAGGAGCTAATCTGCGTATATAAAGTAAAATAGCGTGTGCAATTGGCTTGATTTTATATCTGCATCTGAGTTTGAGACCCCTGAACTATACTCTGCATGATCTTGGCTAGTAGATAGGACTAGACATAAGACAGGGCAGGTTTGTGAATATAATAACTATCTGGCAAAGCATCTGAATATATGCCTGTCTATAGTCCATATTTGCTTGTAGTTGTAGTGGCCCCTGACCTCCAGCTCTAATTACATTCTGCAGTTGTTTTGTTTGTATTTTGCTTTCAATTTGCCTTTGTTTAGATAATAATAACTGGGACTTACGCGCCACATTGCACATGCATGGAGCCAACTTCAGGCCACATCCAGCCCATGGCCTGCAGAGATGGGTAGTCATCGCAGATCTCAACAGTACGTCCCAGGAAGTTCTCCTTCTCGAAAATCATCATGCGACTGCTCTGGTGGGACTGCCGGAGACATAACAAAGAAGATGTTGAGACTACTGTTAGATCTATCTATATCAGTGGTTTTAAACTGGAACAGCATCAACAGATAACGCCAAGCTGCCACCCAAATACAAATTGTTTTTTAAGCATCGAATGATATTACAGTATACTCAGGAATCATAGAAATTGATGTAATAAATATTTAAATAAGGATTGTTGTGTTTAAGAAATCTTACAATGGGGCAAGTTTTATATTTTAAGTTAATTCAGTTTAAATATAACTTCTTTAGGATATAGATTGTTTTTTTCTTAATTCATCAGCAGAAATAACCATGGTCAACTGTACTTATTTTTCATTGTAGGAGGTACATATTATACAAATGGAGCCCAGGAAAGGCTTGCAACCCACTAAAAAGGATGATGTTGAGAACCATTGATCTCATGCATCACAGTCCTGATTTATAGAATGACGTATTTTCTTTTGTTTTTGTCTGTTGTGTACGTACAGCGCAGTAGATTGGGCGCAGGGACATGAGGCGCTCCACGTGGTAGGAGATGTTCCCGCTGTAGGAGTCCCAGTGTGGGTACTCTCCTCTCTCCAGGATGAACTGCTGGCCCTGGAAGTCATGGTGCTCGTAACCCACCCAGCTAGAACAAACGCGGGTAAAGAATCATGAACATATCACTTAATTTTTTGTAGTATAATCTGCATTCCTCCTATATTACATACACTTGTTGTGCCTGACCAACCCCACAGATAATCCCTTTATCACTGTCTGGTTCTGTTAGCTCAAAAACATTTGTATTCCAAAATATATCTTTTGAATTAGTTTTTAGAGGAAGCATACTATGTTAAATCATCTGTTTTAGTTTCTGAATTTGGGAATAAAACAAAAGAAGATTTAGAAAAAGTATTGCATTTTGATACATGGGTGAAGACTTTTTACCCGTTCTCCATGGCTCATTCTACTAAAAAGTTTCATTTGTCAAGGGCGCTTATTTGGATTGAAATAACGTAAACTAAATAATAATAATTGCGAAAGTAGCAAAATCCTGCCGTGGGTCCAAACATGTTACACACCTCAAGCGAGGCATCATTTTCACATTTGTTAATGAAGTAGAAGCAATACAAACAGAATATAAAAAAAAAAAACTGAAACCGGTAGATCTGTGGAATAGGTATTGAGTTTTTTCTTTAAAAGTCTTAAGTCTTTAAACATCTTAAGTACTTGAAATTGACTTGGCAAAGCCTGAAGAAACCTGTAATGATCGTATCATTAATTTAATCAGTACTTTGAGGTGTTCCTGCTTGTTTGTGTAATCCTACTCTGGGGTTTACACTAAAACTAACAGTTCACACTCGGGACATGTCCAGTCCCACCCCTTACATCAACTCCTTCCTTATCCATCCTTGTTCTTCCTTCATCTTTGGAAATGTGAGTGGCATTTAAAAGTCTTTTAAAAGCTCTTAAATTTCACTTGACTAAACCTGAAGCTACTTTGTCTCTGAAAAAGGAAATTTTAAAGCTGGCGTACCTAACTTTTTATTCCTCAAGAATGTAACTATTCAAAATATATATGTATCTAATAAGTTGGAAGAAGTCATGTTGTGGTGTGATTGAGTCACATTTTATTCATATGTATTTATGGAACCTCAGCTTTAAAGATCAAGATAAGGACTAGGGAGATTTTTACCAACCTTCATTTGCTCACTCTCCTGCCTCTGGATCAAAATCATGCATTCTTTATTATTGCTACAACACACTTCTTATGTTGTTGCTCATTGCTGTAACTTTCTTTGGTGGGTTGGGAGCAGACTTACGCGCCGCTCTCGACCCTGATGGAGCGGATGTTATCCATGCCGCAGTCCTGGACGTTGCAGCACTCGGAGGTGAACTCCAGGCACTTTCCCTGGAAGTGCTCCTGCTCAAACACAGTCACCTGCAGACACAGAGGAGGTCCAACTGTCATGAACAGGAGGAAGGAGGTATTCAAGCACCACCTTTTAACACGAGAGCTACTCGATAACAATCTGAATATTCCAGTAGGACGTTACTGCAATAATCATGTTCATACATTGGTTTCTATATAGCACTTGAAAATGCTTCACATGGAATTATTAATTCACCTGGTGGTATAATGCTACAATTGTCATAGCTGCCCTAGGCTTGTTTGTACCTTTGGCTCCAAACTGTGGTGCAGTTCTGATATTAATTAGGAACTTTACAGCTACAGTCTCCCCTCTGTGGCATCTGGTGTTTCAAGAGGTCTCCCATCACTGTACTAACCATGCCTTGCCCTGCTCAGCTTCTAATGATTGACAGGATCAGGCTTCCGCATGCAGCAATGACCACTTTAGGGATGTCATGTTGAAAATAAATCTATTGAGATCTATTGAGGCTAAACCCAAGGTGCTAGACTTGTGACATCAGTCGTAATTTTACAACCTAAAAAATCTATATGTACAATTGTTTGAAATATGACATCTTCTAAAATCCTCCCTTATGCCCCTTTAATCATTTTCTAAATTATCAAAAAGTGTACTGTTTATGTCTAAGATTACTGAGCATTTTTACCTTGAAGAATGGAGCCATTCCCATTCCAGAGTTGACCAGAGGCTGCATCATTGGGGATCTTATAGTACGGTACATCTTTGCTCCTGGACAGTAATATCAAATACAGTATGTACCATTGTAATCTTTTTATTCAAATGCAAGAATAAACCTTGAATGTATTGCATTATAAATTGCTTATCACTTTGGTGCAGCCAGATATCGATATAAATATATATAAATATATATCATTTTAGATTGCATTTGACTTAATGACACTCTGACACATGATTTGATAAATCATAACATAACATCAATATAAACAGAAAGTACAATACAGAAAATGTTATTTATAAGTGAACGATATTCATTAATGTGACAAAACAGGTGTGTGTGAGAGTGCTTTTGTTTTTGTGTGCACTGCGGCCCTGAGCTGTGTGCAAAGCAGAAATGGATCCTTACCTATGTTTGGCACTTAGCTGTGGAGTGATACGCGCCTACCGCCTGCCTCGCGTAGAGCTCTGAGAGATCCTGGCGCTTCAGTTTTATACCTGCAGTTGTGGATATTTGCGCGTTCATGGCAATGCACACCCCGCGACACGCGCTCTCGGGTCGCTGCGCACGAGAGGAGCTGTTTGACTGTTGTCCTGCTGCTGGGGCCAGCTCAGCACATCCCATAGTGGTCAAACAAAGACGCTCGGGTTAGTTCGGGCTCTGGTCAGCACTACTACGTGTGGCACGGGACAAAGCGTGTGGAATTCAGGGATTAGTGCGGTCGCATTGGGGTTCCTCTCAGCGGGGAACGTGTGGAAGCTTTCCCCAGACTTGAACCTATGTAGCCTTAGCTAACTGTTAATTAGGCCTACTGTATATCAATACACCATTTTATATTGTTTCACTGTTTTATGTAACTGCAAGCATTTAGACCCTATCCTTACATGTTATTTATGTGTTTGGACAATTAACTTCTGCTTATAGCTTTATTTCAGTAGTAAATTAAACAAAAGCCCACATTGTACTCACACTATAATAATGTGATGAATTTAACATATGTAAACATTGATGAAGTTTCATTCTAATATTTGATCTGCATTATTATGATAACATGAATGAGTTTGGGATAAAAAACAACCTGAATACAGATTCAAGCACAACAAATAGTTTGAATTGAAAACACTTTATTGAGAATGTCTTAAGTTTGCCTTTGGACTCGGGCTTGTTCTCCGAGCCGCTGCTGCGCCGGTCGTCTCCACGCGTGCTCATATCTGTGATGATCAGGGTTTTCTTTGTGCATCGTCACTGACCTCAGCAGGTTTGTTTCTCTGGGGGTAATCCCGGCCCTGTGAGCGCCAGAGTATAAATGGGAGGGGCGCAGTCTGAGTACACGCACTCTGAGTGAGGCTCGTCACAGGCACACACAAACTGGTAAGGTCATTATTAAATGAACCCTTGTCCAATATTAATATTGGTTTAAATAACACAGTTTCTCCTCTCAGTAATCATGTCAAGTGGAGATAAGTCCAAGACTTCTTCTCAGACTGACGGCAAGGCTGCTCAGAGCAAGAAGTCCGAGATGGGGATGATGTCCTACAAGGTTTGTCTAATACACTTCACATACACATTGTTGTTTCTTTTCAAATGTACCAAAATCATTTTTGCTCTGGCTCCAGATGTACGTGTTTGACCAGGAGAACTTCCAGGGTCGTATGATCGAGATCAGCAACGAGTGCATGAATGTGTGTGAGATGGGCATGGATCGCGTGCGCTCTCTGCGCGTGGAGTGCGGACCGTAAGTTCCAAACTAAATGTTTGCAATAGAAAGTCATTCGTAGACAGTTAATTGGAGCTGTTTCTGTAGCTTTGTGGGCTTCGAGCAGATGAACTTCTGTGGAGAGATGTACATCCTGGAAAAGGGAGAGTACCCTCGCTGGGACTCCTGGAGCAACTGCCAGAGGAACGACTACCTGCTGTCCTTCAGGCCTGTCCGCATGGTGAGACTGTTTATCTTGTTTTGTTTTTGGTTCTGGTTGACTCATCTAAATCAACTCTGCTCCAGGACCCTGAGAAGCACAAGATCTGCCTGTACGAGGTGGGAGAGTTCAAGGGCCGCAAGATGGAGATCATGGATGATGACGTCCCCAGCCTGTTCTCTTATGGCTTCACTGACAGAGTTGGCAGCATCATTGTTAGCTGTGGAACGTAAGTCTTTAAACAGAATAACCAAGTGGACCTAATACTCTGTGTGCATGCTTAACATTGATCTTCCACAGCTGGGTGGGATACCAGTACCCTGGATACCGTGGCAGCCAGTACCTGCTGGAGAAGGGAGACTTCAGGCACTTCAATGAGTACGGCGCCCGCTGCCCTCAGTTCCAGTCCGTGAGGCGTATCCGCGACATGCAGTGGCACCAGCAGGGATGCTACACCATGGCCAGCAAGTGAAGCTCAGGACAGGAGAGGAAGAGAAAGAGTGGGAGTGAGGGAGAGGGGCGGAAGAAGAGAGAGAGGGGGAGAGACCTCTGAAGCCCAGCACTTTTCCATCAGATGGACACCATTCAGCACAAATTAGGCCTCCCTGACTTCCTCTGCCTCTGCTTTCTCTTTCTCCCCTTCGAGTCGAGCTGTTGTGACCACACACCCATATTTTGTAGTCCCTTGCTTCACTATCTCCTCCCTTCTTTTACACAACAAAGAGGAAGCAAGATCTTTGCTTTAAACCACTACTCTCAGCACTGGGTGTGATGCACCATGGGAGTCCACATGGCCCTGCCTAATCCTTGTGCATTGGACACACTTTCTGCTGTACAGATGTCTGGCCAAGTTTTCAATAAAAAGAAAAAAAAAACATGAACTTATACATTTTGCTTTCTTTTTATAATTTATTTAACAGTTTTATGTATCCCTCATGTGGCGGAGGTGGCTCGAGCATGTGTTTGGGATGCCTCCTGGACGCCGGTCTGTGGAAGTGTTCTGCGCATGTCTCACCGAGAAGAGACCCATGACTGAAGCAATATAGTCAAGGCTTATAAGGAAACGTACATATGCCTTTCATGTGTAAAAGGAAAGCCTTACTTCACATTCTTAATTACTCACCCAGCTAAAAAAGCTAAAACAGTTTAAAAAGACAAGTGATGATCTAGGGATACGTTGATCATGTATTTACTCAACAAAACAAAAGGTGATGAATTTACTTAATTTGTTCATTTATTCATTGTATTCATATAATAGAAAATTATCTTACAAACAATACTTTCATGCTACAACACTGATATAGGTCTATAAAACATACAAAACAAAGAACTGTGTGGAGCTTTTGATATGTAACTGGTAAATACTTTGTCCATCTATTGCACTTAAGTTTAGATCCTTACAACTATTGTTTATATGTAACATTGTGTATAATACAAAAATAATTCTCCAATGAGTCGACGTTGATTCATCAGACTACAATATTGCATAATGTCAGTCTGTTCCTCTTACAGGTGGTTAGCGAGACATCATCCGCACAAATTCTATGAACACAAGAATAGAAACAGTTTTGTTAAGGCGATTTTCATAGAAAAACAAACAAAAACAGCTGTGTCCTCCTCACCCTCAAAATCCACCAGCCCGTCCCCGTTCAGGTCTATGTCTCTCAGGATCTCGTTGATCTCTCTGTTTGTGATCTGTTCACCCATAAGCTTCTTCATGGCCTCTCGCAGCTCTGCCAAACTGATCAAGCCATCTCCATTGGCATCAAACTACAACACAACACGCATGGTCAGAAATAGGTCAAAATTCATACAATGATCACCTGCATGGGTACCTCCTTAAATGCATCTCGCAGTTCTTTGACCCCAATCATGTCTGCAGTCTCTGCCAACATCTTTGGACCCATTAGTTCTACAAAGTCCTCAAAATCGAGTTTACCTCCACCTAGAAGAACAAGTTTTATTACCTACATCAGGGGTATCAAACATGTTCCAGAAAGAGCCATGTTGGCTGCAGGTTTTCATTCCAACCAAGCAGGAGGCAAGTCAAGTTTATAGCACAATTTATACACAAGGAAAGTGCTGAAAAAAACGAGATAGACCAATAATCACAATACATAAAAAATAAATACGAAAATATTAAATCCCTCTGTTGTATGCATGGCTAAACAGAACTGTTTTTAACCCAGTTTTGAACATTTTCAGAATAGAGGCCTGTCTTACATTTTCAGGAAGATGTTTCCAGATTTTAACTGAATGAATCTGAAACGCTGCCTTCCCATGTTTAGTTCTGACTCTGGGCACCAGCAGGAGTCCCAGTCCTTGTGCTCCTTAGAGTCCAGGCCGGTTCATATGAAACTAACATGTCACTGTCAGAGGGTGCAAAAGGGTGGTGGGTTTTTTAACGTTTGCTTTGTGTTTTTAGACTTTATTTATGCATGTTGTGTATTTTTATATTGCAGACTTGCACCACCCGAAGCACCCCGGCTCCCCACGTGATGAGCAATCAAGACACCTGCGCCTTGAGCATAAAAGACGGAGATGGGGAGGGGGGAGAGAGAAGAGAACGAGACACGGGAGCCAGACACGGGAGGGGAGAGTGCCGTGGTCTGGCGGCCCAGGCCGTGCAGAAGGGTTTTTAGCCTCTTTAACTTTTTTCCCGGGTTTTTAGCTTAGGTTTTATTGCTTTTATTAATTTACTTGTTTTTAATGTATTTTATAATAAATAGTTTTTAATTCGCTTTTAATCCAGTGGTCATCTTTTAAACCCGGGTCCGAAGAACCTGTTTTTACACTTGTGACATTTTGGCGTTGTCTGGCAGGACCCGGTACCACTGTTTTTACCTCTATATATCTGACCTGATTTGAAGTTTTTTGGGAGAGGGACTGGAGGTGACAGAAAGACGGTCTCTCTTTGAGAGACCTGGTGTGCTCCACTCATTTCACAAGTCCAGTCTTAAAGTGAATGTCAGTTACTTTTCAAATTGTTAAGAGAATAAAACATTATACAGTAGTTTTGTATTATTATTAAAGATTAAATACAATTATTAAAGATTAAATACAATTTAAGTGGCTGACATAATCTTTGACCTAACGACTTGATGAACTAAGCTGAGTTTGGTAGGCTCCTGCTTGGTTGGTATGAAATCCAGCTGCCCCATATGTTACAATTTGACAGCCTGGCCCTACATGCTTATAAAAGAGCCGATTGATCATCTGTAGAATGATGCACTCACAGATCTGCTGGCTCAGCTCGATCAGCTCCATCTCTGTGGGCATGTACCCCATGGTCCTCATGCACTCGCCCAGGTTATTGTGACTGATGTAGCCGTCCTTGTTCATAAACTCTGTGAACGCCTCTCGTAGCTCTGCTCAACACACAAGGCAATGTTTAGGTCCACAAGCGTCTTGTCTCATGTTGGTCTTATGTTCCTTACCATCCATCTCCTCGGGCCTCAGCTCTCTGTCCTGAAAAAGCAGACATGGTTTGAGACAAGGCAGAGTACAACAAGGAGAACCTTTAAGATGGAAATATTTAGAAATGTTGTTTAACACAATAATGGAGCCACCAAATGTATATGCAGACACATATTTACATGAGAACCCAAATACTCACACACTATAGACACATATGTTTACAATGGACAAGGAAAGTGTGATTGTTTCAGTATAGCCTTATTGCTCGGGCACAATTTGCTAATGGGAAAAAAGCTATGTGTCTTCAGTAATCTGCTTCTTATATATATTTACGTAACACATCAAACGGATTAAAGAGTAACATTGAGGAGATGCATTGATATTGATTAGCAAGGTTTGATTTCATGACGACCATATAGTGGAAATACCATAAAAACTAGATATTCAGGCTGGTTCTAACAGTGACAACGCAACCGATCAATGTCTTTCCATGGAAATTATTGATTATTTTGTGAGTGAGGTAATGGGGTTATGTCTGGTTTAAAACAATGACAATGTGACGACAATATTAAGCAATAGCAAGAGGTGGGTTAGTTATTACTGTTTATTATTGTTTTTGTTATGTTTGTTCTGACTTTACTATTGTGCATTTGGTAATTTTCTTAGTAGAATCTGTACATGCAGGTTATTATTCCCTGGACTAAGTACAAATAAACGTATGTTGAGACAAGAAGCTCCATGGGTATTCAATTGGGTTCATAAAGGGCTGAGGGCTGCGGGCTTTCATTCCAGCCAAGCAGGAGCATGCCAGACTCCACCCATTTACTCATGTGAGTCTATTCTAAACCTGAAGACTTGGGGAAATGAGTGGAGTCTGGTGTGCTCTTGTTTGTTTGGAATAAAAACCTGCAGCCACTTGGCCATTTGATGACCGAATTGAATATAGACTGGGTAGCTTTTCCACCGAACATTCTGGTAAACCCATCCAGAATTGTTAGATTACAACATTTTCATCTCAAATCAGATGTGTTACACAGTGTACTTTTTAAGATTTTTTGATCTAATGCCCTTTTCAAACCAAAAGACCAACCCACCTCTATAATGATCTAAAATCTCACAAAGATGAGGATAAGATGGAGAATTGAATTTTTAAATAACATAACAGATTACATACAAATGCAACCCCTTGTCTTAGGAACACACAGGCCGGGCCTACTATCTGCAGCATCTTGAAGTTCTTCAACAAAGCACCGAAAGTTTCTCCGAACGGTTTTTCCTTCACATCCTCGTCCTCATTGGCGGCTAGCTGCTGCTCTGTTTGCGCATGGGCCTTAATGCTTTCTTTTGCCACCTTTGAGTCACACAATTAGGGGTATTAATCATAAACATCTTGAAAGAATCACATTGAGATGCACAGTGAGAAAGCCCCCCTCTACACCAGGATTACATAAGCGGCTTTTTATTTCAAGGCAATCCTCTCACTCCTGCCGTTACCCCACCGCTGGACAACTTAAACCTAACCACTTCTTGTGTGTCCACTCCCAAAGGCTCATTTTGCTAATTGACTGATCCGTTGACACTTTCAGGTTTTACATAACACTGGCAGCCTCACATGCTGTGTTCTCAATGTCTGGAACTATAACCTTAAATTGAGAATATACAAGCAATACATTACATCATTTACTAATTCTGCCAAAAATAAAAATTACAGATTTTCTCTTTTTTTTTTTTAAACAAATACTAATATTGTATGCTTAAATTTAAAAACTACTTGTGGAGGACTCACCAGTTCAATCATCAATACTATTCTGTCCTATTCTATACTAAAAGAAAATCGGATTTATTGTCATTTATTATTAAAAATACAACTATAACTGTTATCATTTTTTCTCAATTCAATGAAAATCAACCTATTTCTATCTAGACCAGTAAAAATAAAGGGACTCAAAAACAACTGCAGGCAATCAAAACAAAAGTTCCTACCTTTTTATCTTTCATAGATGGTTTGGTGCAGTTGCCCATCACCAAATCAAAACAATCCTTTGTCCAATTGTTCCATTTTGTATGTTAAAAGCGCCTTAGATTTGTCCTGGTTTGCTCTAAGGCGTGAATATGATTGCACAAGCCACCAATTAGTCCCTACAAGTCAAAGCTGCAGATTTAGAAGTGGGTTCACATTTGAGGCACTGGTTTTAAATCTTTCCCCCTCTCTCTCTCTCTCTCTCTCGATCTATCCCCTCCCGCACTCAAAGCACTGCCGGGTTTATCGCAATTGAAGGGGAATTAAGTGCACATAAATGAACTGTGGTTAATCCTGGTGCACTTAGATGACTGAGAAAGTTCTGTTGATTGAGTAATATTAACAAGTAGGCATATATCAAAATGGGTTTCGACGTTTTAAAGTATTTACATGTATTATAAAGTATTGATACAACCTAAGAATAAAAGGTAAACCTGGTTAATGAAAAACATCTGTCTTTGTATATGTGCAAATGTATATACTTTTATGTATTTGTAGTTCTTATTCATATTTTGTGTTAAATTGTTACGCAATCTGTCGCACCATGACAAGGGGAGGATGGTGATGAGTACGAGGCAGAAGTTGGGATCATGAACCGTAGACTGCGGCACATCTGCCACAAATCTAGATAAAGCAGATTCGGATGAGATAAACAACTGAAAAAATGAGCCACATTTCACATACACGATGGTTGTTGGAGATATTTTTTCCAAAACAGACCATCAAAGAAACATACAATTAATTAAAACATCTAACAGGAAGTGTATGCAAAAAAAAAAATTAGGTGTTTATGATTAATACCCCTAAAATGTGATTGAAACTCTCAACCACTCTCCTAGGAAAACATGGTTTGTGGCTATAGATAGAAAGATAGATAGATGGATAGATAGGTGAAATATAATGATATGTTATTTTATTTAAATTTCCATTATTGAGTTTTTTTTATTTTTATTATATGGTTTTTTTCTCAGTTATTTGGCTGGGGCGTATGTTAAACACACCTCTCTGGATTTTTGCCTTTCAAACACACGCTTTCCCGCTATTGTACATGTTTTTAGTGGTAGGGGAAACAGGAGCACTCAGAGGAAACTTACGCAGACATGGGAAGAACATGCAAACTCCACACAGGAAAAAAACAATAACTAAAATGTAGATTTGATACACTTTTCAAATATCATTTCTATTTATCTATTTTATTATTTCGATTATTTATTTATATTTTTAATGATGGAGAACGCTTCCCGCAAAGCACTAAAAAGACGCGTCTATGGTTTTAGTGCGTATAGATGTTTCTGCACGGTGTAATGTGAAATAATCAGCGCTAGAGGCCGCTGTAGTACAGGCTTTATGTGACGCGCCCTGACAGCTGCCGTGGGGTTTCCCTGGGTATTACATCCATAAGATTCTGCACTGCAAATGAACTTTCAGCATGAAATGTGTCCATGGTCATGACTCAATGTACTCAGTAGGCCGCCATGGCTGTAATGCCCACTAACAGCTCTTCGAGTGCGGGCGGGGGGTGAGCGTGGTTTCTGTGTATGAAAATGTAGTGCCCAGTGGAATGCAATTTGTCACTAAAGATAAAAATATTATAATCATTTGTTGTAAAGGAATTTGAGAGAGAGAGAGGGGGAAAAAAATGTTCTTAGATTTCACAGCTTGTTAACTGCATTGGTTTTTGGTATATAATTGAAATTCTAATATTTATTGAGCTCTTTTGTTCCATATGACTGTTGACTAAAGTTGATGTTTGTGATATATTATTATTCATTGTTTACATGAAGATTAGCATTTGTGTTGTCTTCCTCTGCAAATTTCTGTAAATATTCTCAGGCGAATGAAAACATACATCTAAGTAGGTGGTTCCAATTCAAATGTAAGATGTAAACCACTTGATCTGGACAAAAACAATGCAAGTTGGGACCATAATGACATAGCTATAAATACCCGAACCTGAGTAATGCCATTAAGTCAAATGAAACTCCTCTTAATATTTAATGTGAATGACTATTTAATGCCGGACTCACAGGTTTATCCTCATTGCGTTTTGATTACTTTTCAATCGCACATCCAAGTTGTGCGTGGCGCTGTAATGTCAGGAGGTTAACTTTGTGGCAAGTGCTTGTACCACGAGTCATGGATGTTTGTGTGTGAGCGTGGCACAACAACAGCAAAGAGTGTCCTCATTGACCCTCGAGGGAAAAAATACAGTTATATTATACCTCTATATCTATGGTGTGTCTTGAAAATAATTCCAATTTGAACTAATTATAGAATGCTTGGATATATATAATATACCAGGACATATGTTATAGGTTTTACACTTGTTTTGTTCAACCAAATCCGAGCGGCTCTAAATGTCATTGGAATGTTTTTTAAGTTATCATTTTAATGTAGTGATGTGTAATTCAAGTAATATGTGGCTAAGATATATTGTATTCACTGTTGGCTCCAGCCAGTCTTCTGGGCAACAGGGGTTGTACGCAGATGGGACCAGGGCTAGGCCAAGGCCACTGTTTCTTTGATTGATTTGCTAAATACCAAATTGTGAAACATCATTGTGAAACTGTGACTGTTGAGAAGTGGAGGTGTGTCTTTTCTCCTTCAAGACTGAGCTGAGCTGTGCTCTTTCTCTACAGAACTTGTCTTGTACTTTTATTGAAAAACTCAAAATCTATCAAAAACCAGAGTGCTTTTTGTCAACATTTTAAAATTTCTGTCAAAACTATGATATCATTTCACTTGTTTGATCACAACAAAATCCTTCATAATAAAGATATGAATAATTAAAATAAGATAGAATATCAAACACATTTATCAATGCAGTCGTGAGAGGCAGTTTCATAATTAATTCAACATCTCAAAAAAATAAACTCAAGTAGAGGAAATTTGAGAAGGAATACTTTTGATGCCGACTTGTATTATAGCGCCGAAGGATTCTTCAACAATAATCAGAGCGCACTCCGGATGTCTCTTGGCATGGCCGACTCTTTTGTCACTCACTGATTAGGATCATCTGTTTCTCGGCTGT